AAAGTGCGGAACTACGTATCTCCATTGCGGTGTTCCAAAATTTCCGCTCGTATATTATTTTATTTAAAAAAAAAACGCACAAAAAAACACAAAAAAACACCAAAAAAAAACAAAAAAACAAGCCAACTTCATAACTTAAAATTTACACAGAATATTCTGCCATCAGATGAGAAAAATGGAGGACGTTTTCAAAAAACTACGTTGACTAGTTTTCCTAAGAAAGCATGAAGTATGCAATAATGTTACAAACGGACATACGTGGTTTCGAGTGTTGCTTATCGATCTGGAAAGTTGATTTTCAACCATACGCTGAGGAAAAAGCCCGGTCATATGAACCGGTGTCTAAAAGCACGGTGAAAACTACGGTGTTCGATATTGGCCATATTATTTAGTTCGCATGATCGTGCTCTCGAGTCTAGAAACCGAATCCTCGGTTAATGAGACCGAGCTACTCAACTAAATAGAACCTGCATGAACTGAGGATACGGCTATCCTAAATAAGCCAATAGTAACTGAAAAAAAATCGGTAGAACCGGACATTTTGGGTGATATGGAACCTAATTTAGTTTGGTACACTCAACCATATTTCGGTTTGCTCAATTTAACTATTCGATCGCGTCTCGGGTGAATATAGCGAATCGAAAGGCAAATTATTTGCGATACTTCACTGAGTACTTTCGGAGTTATTTCAATGATTCTAGTACCTGACATATTATATCGTGATGTAATAAAATGCTGGAAAATCTTAAGAAATATCCCATAATCCAGAAACTACTAATTGAGGGGCTTAGAGGACAAGGCGCATAACTGCAATCGTTGCAAAAATTGAGGTATTAATGATTTCAAGCGAAAACTAGTACCAATGCATAGTCGCGAAAAATTTACTCCCAAATTCCAATTTTTAAGCATCAAAAAGTCAGTTTGAACTTTCTTTCTGTCATAAAGGATCCATGTGATTTCGAAACTTCAAACGCGTATCCCTCGAAATCGCAATTCCTGCACTTATGCACCGTGTCCTTCAAGCCCCTAAATTCATAGTTCGACTATCGAATCGTTCTCCCAAGTGCTGAAACCACCACAAGCTCCTGAGCTACGACAGCCGATGTCGACTGCTTAATTTGCCAAAACCATGACCCTCTGCTTCGCCACAATGGCCGAGCTGTAAACTCTCAAGCGAGACGTCTAAACATAACCTAATTTCGTTGATTGATGGTTATTCTCCTGTGGAAACTTATTCCCACAGAAACCAACACCTACCATACAGCCGAAAATATCCCGGACGTCCGCGCGTTAGAAAGCTATTCAGAGTTGTCTTACTCATGAATTGTAACACGACGCATAAGCAAGCCCATAATTCCCTGGATTCATGACGGGTGCTGACAGATCTTTCAGTAAAATTTCAAATTTCACTTACATGTGTAAGAGCAAGTACTGTTTATCCGACTTCCGAGACATTAATTGGGGTGGCACGAGAAAGAAAGACTATTTAATCATTGTGACTGGGCTCATTATTCGCATGTTAACGCGGTTAAGACTGCCAAGTGCCGTGATAGTGCTTGCTCGATATCGATGTGAAGCCTAAGGCCCGTATTTATAGTTGTTCCGTAAACAGCTCTTTTCCTTAGGAGGGCCCCATATAATTTACATTGTTATATTGGAGGCCCTCAGAATGGGCCTGTTGCAAACTTTTGCTAGAGCAGAATGAAGAGTTGTTTCCTATAGATAATGCCTCAAAAATCACAATGAGCGCATCGGCAAAGTCTGAAATGCACTCATAAATTCACCATCTGCGTAAGAAATTTGCGTTATTTTGAGCTTCCCGCTTCAAAAACGATACTACTGCACAGGTGAACATTTTGTTAGAGGAGTCGCTCCATCGTCGGCAATATTCATCATGGCCGACGCTTGCGCAGTTCCTCGCGTAATTCGAGGAGAGTTCAAGGTCAATTAAGGCGGGCGAGGAAAATATGAACGTAAACACGCCGATTGTTATATGGTTTAATCCTGTTCAGGTGTTATCTCGTCCCATCACACGTGTTTTGGCGGACTGGCGTCGGCCATGATGAATATTGTCGCCAATAGAACGACTCCTCTAACAAAATGTTCACCTGCACCGTAGTATTGTTTTCGAAGCGGGAAGCTCAAAAAACCGCAAATTTCTTACGCAGATTGTGAAGTTATGAGTGCATTTCAGACTTTGCCGATGCGCTCATCGTTATTTTTGAGGCATTATCTGTAGGAAACAACTCTTAGTTTTGCTCTAGCAAAAGTTTGCAACAGGCCCATTGTATAATCAAAAGTACAATGCATGCGAGCCTCGAGTAATACCTACCTGAAGAAACCCGACCTAAAAAATTCCCCTATCCTAAAAACCTTAAAATGCGCGATATTTCTTTTTTATGTTTTATATTTTTGGAAAGTTGTTGTAATCCCTCGCAAGGATCTAGTTCCAAAGTTATACCTATTTATTTTACTAGATGCTTGCATAAATCGTCCTTTTTATGAAGGTATGAGGTACGAACCCTCTGTGACATGAATTAATTTTGGATTTCAGCTTCTGAGGGACTTTAATTTATTTTTTAGCTTGCATGAAGAACATGGGGTACATAATTTTTCACCAAATTTTAAATTTTGAGCATCAGTTATTCAAAAAGAGAAAAAACTAATGAAAATTTGAAAAATCATGCCACAGAGGAAAGATTCAATTTTTAAAAACTCAAAATTACGTTGTTACGAATTTGTAAAGCTATGCCACAGAGGGTGAAAGGTATCATTGATCACAATGTAACGGATACGGGGTTTTTTGAAAAAAAAGAAGGAACAACTATGAATTCGGTTCTCAGATTCTGCCTCAATGAGAAATAAAATCATCGTTTTATTTTCCTAATTTCAGTATACTCAACGTTTTTTTAAAATTCTGCATTTTCCTAGATTTTGCAAATTTTCATTAATTTCTTCTCTTTTTGAATAACTGATTTTCAGAAATTTAAAATAAGTTATTAGAATCCAATTCGATTTCATTTTTTCTGCTTTTCAGCCTTTATTATTTGAGCGTGGCCTCCACCATTCACCACGTGATCCAAATGGTCACAACTCATAACGACGACGCTCTTATGCTGGAAAATGATTTTTCATGATAGGTGCCATTATTTGCACCAAAAAAAGAAAATAAAACTAGTCCGCACGACTTGTCACCAACGGTTCCGCTGAAACAATAAAACTTGTTTGAATGTCAAGATCAGGGGACACCCGCCAATCCCGCCTTGCGCAAGCGTGACCCTTTCGCCCGCCTCAATCGTTCTCGGAAAACAATTCATCTCTTTTAACTTGACGACCACATATATATATCGCAAACGTCATATTCAATCGCCGCACGCCTTTAGTTTAAGTTCTAAGAGATCATACCACCGCCGCCGCCTCTTCCTTTTTCCCTCCCTCCTCCTCTCTCTCCTCCTCCTCCTCCTTTCTCTCTCCCCGCTCTCAATCTTAAGTTTTATTGCTTGAAAGCTCAGCGAGTGATTTAGCTGCATTCGCAGCAATTGACGATGCTCCTATTAAAACCATTGCCTATGTAGAGTTAGTCGTATGAATCACGTATTAAAATTAGTCGGAAAATATTACATTCACGCCACGTCAGTTAGCCTTCAATGTCTGGTATAGAGGCAACGCAAGTTCCCTCGTGGTCGAATATTTATGTTGTCGTGGAGTGGCGCGTTCACTTCATACACATTGGAATAATAGCTTTTTACTATACTTTAACGGCATGTCAGTTCGCCTTGAATATTTAATGTAGGCAACACAAGCTCCTACGTGGTCGAATAGTGGTATCATCGTGTAATGGACCTATCAATCCTAGCACACTCCAAAAATAGCGTTTACTAAGAGAGAAGAGATTACGTTAGCGCCATGTCAGTTTGCCTTCAATTTTTAATGTAGGCAACACAAGCTCCTACGTGGTCGAATAGTGGTATCATCGTGAAATGCCCCTATTAATCTTAGCACACTCCAAAAATAGCTTTTACCATGCGAGAAGAGATTACATTAGCGCCATGTCAGTTTGCCTTCAATTTTTAATGTAGGCAACACAGGCTCCTACGTGGTCGAATAGTGGTATCATGCACTATCAATCGCATCTCACTCCAAAAATAGCTTTTACCGTGCGAGAAGAGATTACATTAACGCCGTGTCAGTTCGCCTTCAATTTTGAGAGTAGGCAACGAACGCTCCCACGTGGTCGAATAGTTGTATCACTTTGAAATGGCAATTTCAATCGTGAAACTCTTAAACATAGCTTTCTACCGAATGGGAAAAGGTTAATTTAACGTAATGTCAGCCTATCCAATGTATTGTAGTGCAGCAACACGAATTTCCAAGTGGACTATTAGTGTAATCATCGTGCAGGCACTTTCACTGGGAACAGTAAATTTCAAATACTCACTTCTTTAATGAAGTGAAGAATTATTAAAATTATAATTTATGGCGAACCATCTGCACCCGTGACTTCACAGTCACGGGATTTTCGCTGGTACATAATATGAACGTTTATACGCTATAAAAAAAACTTTGTAAACAAGTATTAAATCAAAAGCATCTATGTACATTAGGTTTGTATGCTTCATATAGCTCCTTTCGATAATATAAGTTTGCACATTGCTCCTTTTACCATAAATACGTCCATGAGAATGAGTCAAAAACAGAAACGCAGTAAGTCGCAGTAAGTTTTAACCGAGAAAACGGTGACAAAAATGAATTTATAAACTCAAAAGTTTTGTTAAGAGAAACTTTACCTTTTTATTCAAAACTAGTTTTGATAACTTTCCCCAAAATTTTACTTACTCGGTGTGTTTCTGCTGGACTAGGTCCATACCTCAAAAGTGCATAGTGTTATTTTGACCGCATTTTCTGTTAATGGAAATTTACGATCAATATAAGTGTGTGGAGGAAGTTTGTTGGAACGTAGACGAGTTATAAAAGTCTTATAGATGGTTTTTTGTTGACAGGCATCCTTCAGCGATCCTCGGTGAGCGTGGGCCAAGTGAAGATTCAAGGAGTAGCCACCTGCATGTTCCTCTGCATGGACGCAGCGGGGACTCTCTACGCAACGGTAAGCTTCAAATTCGTAATGTAAAAAGTATCACGATAAATTGAATGGGAAATAATTTACATACAAATAAGTAATTAGCAGTAAGTAAGATGAATAGAGATTCTGTTTTAACACAGGTTGCTTTCATCGAAGTAATTATTTCAACAAGACAAAATGTTATTTTCCCCCCCCCCAAAAAAATAATGAATAAATAAAAATTAAATTTGATCCATTAACATATACTTCAATGCTGCGTGGGTATCTTTATTGTCCTCTTGAAATAAGTTAAGTAAACTGTCATACTAACCAAGGAGCTGCAGCTTCTTGTCTGAATTTCGTTTAAAATGATTCGATGGTCGCCATATTTTGTGTCCAAACGATATACTATCGTATATCGTTTCGACACATCGATTGCATCGATTATCGCATCGATTTGTTCCATTTTTTCAGCTACTCGTCATTTTTCTCGAATTTTGAGATCGCAATTCTGTTGTCAGGAGACTAAAGAATTCACTTACCAATTTTGAGAAACAAATTCAACGTAATATACGCATGGTATTTTTCCTCTAATAAAAACCACGCCTTTATTGAGTTGAATTTGTTTGTCAAAATTGGTAAGTGAATTCTTTAGTCTCCTAACAACAGAATTACGATCTCAAAATTCGAAAAAAATGAAAAGTAGCTGAGAAAATGGAACTAATCGATGGGATAAATCGCATGTAGTTCTGGCACAAAATATAGCGTCCATCAAATCACCTTAATCACGGCTCGATAGAGGCTTACTTTGATGGCAAAACTGTTTTTTCGCTCAAAATATCTTAGTTTTTCACCAAAAATATCGGAGTGGTCCAAAACAGTGACTGTTTCAACCAACTTACACTGTGCTCGAGACGTATTTTTCAACCGCAACCCCAATAATTAAGCGATTATAAAATTAGTTATCCACAGTGAGCGGTCGGTGGACATTTAAATGATTGGGTAATCAAACGGCGTCCATCGGCTTTGATTTTCCAGTGATTTTCGGGTCATAAACAAGTCATGTGTGCTGCTGGACTATGTTGCTAGATTTCTCGGGTTTTTCTTTTTTTTATGTCTATAAAAGTTCAGGGAGCACTTTCTCGGTTAGGAATCTTCGTTCCATTATCACAGCTGCTGGAGAGTAATCCAAAGGTGTCATTTGTGATAACTGCCGTCACATGCAAACAATTATTTGCTATACCTAAGTAATGTAGAGAAAGCAAGGATTCGGGTGAACCATAAGAGCCTTAGTGTAAGTGGCAGAGGAAGAGTTAGTCTTCCTCTGCCATGACGGATTGCTGAAAAAACCATGAAAGCCTCATAATATTAAGAACGTCTGTTCATTAGAAAAAATGATGGAAACAGCTGTTAAAGTAAAAGGAAGAAATCAATATTGATTATAAAAAAAAATCTCCTTCGCCTAATATTTCACTTATGATACTACAGGGATAGAATATGGCGAAAAATGAGAATATGGCGAAAAATGAGAATTCGGCGAATTAGAGGATTAAACAATCTAGAAACAATCAGGAAATGCAGACAATTCAATCAGTAAATATTATAAAACCACGAAAATACTAATTTTCGAAATTATACCGAAAAAAAAAGGATGCTGATTTAACATTATCTGGCTGTAAAGAAGTGTGCGACAACTCAAAAACGCTGATTTAGCAGCCGTAGCAGTTAGTTTTACATCTTGACATTGCTAAAGTAACTGCTGTAGCGCTTAATTCAGCGTTGTGTGAGTTGTCGCACACTTTTTTACATCCAGAATGTTAAATCAGCATCCCTTTTTTTTCGGTGATTGAAATAATCCTCTTTTTACTGATGTTTTAAAAGGAGGATTGTGCATGGTGATACTCACCCATTGTGGCAACAATGCCTCGGAGTGCGCCTATGAATGGTGATTTTACGATCTGAGAAGCTTACAAGTGTTGACGAGTCATAAAACAACCTATGTTTGACTTGGGAGACGTTTTATGAAGCGTCACACTGCGCGGGTAATGTCGTTCCGATCCCAATGCGATTACATCTCACCGTAGCGCGCGGCACGGCGTCAGGTGGAATTCCGACCTAATTAATTGAGACTTAGGTCCTGCTTGATGTTTATTTGGCATCCTGTGAATTCTCCTTAGGACCGGCCCTGATTGAGTCGTTGCGAGTTATTTAAACCCCATGTCAACGTTAAATAAATAGACGTATTACCTGGCTCCATGAGCTGCCTTTTTCTATCAGCTCCCTCGACCCCATCCAAGGCGTCATCTTTGAAGTCGTAGGTTTCAATGACCGCAGTCTTCACCTGTACGTGATCTATCTGTAATTCCATCTATACATTTAAAACCCTCAAAATACTCGTTTTTCCTGTTCTTTTTTAATAGCTCCTTTTCCAAAAACCGTCCCATCAATGTGATCCGTTTTAATTTCATCTCAGAGAAACGTGTAGGTATTAAATTGGTAATAGTGTAAATCATTGCTGCACTTTTTCAGAATCATCTTTTGATGGTTAAAACTCACCAAGTAATAAGATGTATCAGAATGGGACTGTTGCACAATTATTTATTTATTTATTTATTTTTAAACCATTCACGAAATATACCTAAAAAATAATACCTACATGCATTTTCCATCATTCTTTTAAACTGCATATTTCCTTTAAACTGAAAAAATACCGTGCCAACAGAATCTGTTTAACAGATTTTGTGACGTCACATGCAAATGAATCCACTGCGATACGTGCAGTTCATCATGGTTTCATTTGGGCTCCATCTGCTTTTGTCTTATCAGTAATATAAGTCAAATTTTCCAGTGTAAGTGTAAGTCACCAGTGTGTATCACTTATTGATGAACCTAAAGTGGAAGAAACCGCAGTATGCAGTGCACTACCCTGCTGTGCTATAAAAAAAAAAAAAAAAAAACTCGAATGAACATTCGAATATTGTCAAATTTCTACCGCTAAAACTATATTTTTGGAATGAATGTATCAATGTTTTTCCTGGATATTTTCAGGAAACCAAAGGTGAATTGCGAATAAAATTATCTGAAAAACGTGGAGGGAAAATATTCAGAAGTTTCCCAAAAAATTTTCGTTTTACCAAAGGAATTTTGGCAACACCTGAAGGCTCTTACGGCGTTTTTAATCAATAATAAAGTGCTGTGGGGGAATGCCGTAAATCATCGTTTCTGATTTGACGATAACTCCGATATTATATTAAACGCAGAAACTTACATTTTGATGAATTTTACTTTTTTTGCTAAAGTAGAGCATTCGACCATCAACCAAAAAACTCTTTTTTCTGAGGAGTTTAAAATAATTTCTACTCCCGATTAGTTATAAAATTTGTTGCATCTATTCGTAATATACAAGAAACTTTTCGAAATATGCATCGCTGATTCCCCATTGATGCTGGAAACTCTGATGAGCGTGAATCAAGATGCGGCAACCATGCATTGTCTCGCACTGCGAATGTCATAGTTGTTCACTTTTCGGCTAACGAGAATGCGCAGTACTTCATTAATGCAAGTATGCAGTGGCTTGGCGTGCTTTGCGATGTATCGATTGATCTGCCATTTAAATCTATGGAAAATGATCGATTATCAAGGTGTTCGCTGCGAACACCTTGATAATCGATTCTTTACTACAGCTTCAAATGGAGAAATATCGATAATCGATCATTCACGCCAAGCCACTGCAAGTATGCATATGGTGGACCTAACCCTACGAGACGAGCGCAGAAGTTTAAATAATTCTTGATATGGATGAAGATATCAGACATGATAAGGTTTGACTTGACTACAAATTATGCGCACATCAATAAAATCAGTCAAGAGAAAATAAAAGCGCGTGAATCATTAACCATAAGCGCAAATAATGAAATAAATTTCAGAGGAAAGTGAAGGATTCCGGAGTGATTTTCATATTACAGTGATGTTGTGATCAACCCGAGAAAGATTTACAATGAGAGGATATGCAAAAAGAGAGGATCGGAGAGTGAGGTGGACGCAATAATTTAGCTGTGTGCTAGATTTGTTTTTTCATGCTGTGTGTATAAAGAATCTCCCGCCGCGTATTTTACCCTAATGCCTACTTTGTTTCATATCGAACGTAATTTCACAGGGGAAAAAAAGTTGTGTAAGGACAGACTTTTGTTCAATGTTTTTCACTGTCATATAAATTGATAATTCTATAATTTCAAGACACCCAAAGAATCTTCTAATTTAAAAATTCCGCCGTTTGTCACGTGTCAATAGGCATAAGTTAAAATAAGGAGAAACTAACGGCAAAGAATTATCCTTGTATTGTGGCGTTTTTACTTTCTCTTCAAATCTAAAGATGTATTTGTATTCGAAAATAATTTCAGTTCTTGAAAAAGTGCTCTTTGAGCTCATTACATGAAGGATGACGTTCGTAATTCCTGACATCAGGTGCATTCCGTGTCAAATTTTAGTGTCATGATATAAAACCAGCTTAAAATAAAATACTTAAGTGGTTAATATTGACGCACTGTAAAGATCAAAAGATAAATACTGTGACTGTCTAACTGTGCCGTTCAATCGAGCATGACGAAGAAAATGTCTTAAATCAAACCAGGCACTAAAAATTACGATTTATAAGTATCCGCAATTGCTTGTTCTTTTGCTCCCTTTGCAATCTCCTTGATTACAAAAACAGCTTTAGCAGCACAAAAATCCACTGCATTATTACTTGTATACATACATTCAGTAAAATACGAGAATAATACATGCATACAGCATTCAAGGCTCTGTGAGCAATTTTTTTTTCTTCTTAAAATGAAGTTTGGAGCCGTTTTTCAAACTGTTGAATTAGAAGCATTTCCACATAGCCCCCAATTACTTCCTATCACAATGTTATGTTTGAAAACACGTTAAGCTCTCTAGCGAATGCAAGTACGGCCAAGAGGAGAAGGGACGGCCTCTATAATAGATTTTCTTAAGAGAACAGAGAGCCAACTGGTTCAAAACTATGGAGTATCGGGAATTTTTACGGTATTAATTCCTCCGAACTTATTTTATCTGCCTTTCTAATTCTCTGTCTCTCCAACGTAGCCGGGCGAAAAAACGCCTTCAATTCAATTGGCTGCAATTTTGATTGCAATGCAGCATAGTCCGCATAGAATTCATCTCATTACATATTATGTTCCCGCGTCCCGCCGCCGCGCCGATGACGCACACACTTTAGCCACAACTGGCCACAGTAACTTAGTCATTCTAAACGCAACGGTCATTACATTATGTTTTTAAAAACTCTTAATAGGGAAATTTTAAGAACTAAGAGCAATTTCTTTGGAAAACTGTAGTAAGATTTCAATATTTTAAGGTAGGGCCTTAAGAGAGTAAATAATCGGCTGTGCTTTTGGGACATTAAGATCGATCCCATGAGTTCTACCCTCAATTTTGCCGCATCAACAACAAACCAATCGACATTCACGATTATTCATTCATCGATAAAAATATGTCATTTATCTCATTCCATGCTTTGAGTGAATCAATATACGAAACGATATCGTCACCTTCCATCCAAAGTATCACAAGCGCCATGCGACGTTTCAAAATTCCCGCCGCCACTATATTTTTTCACAGAGAAATTTGTAGTTAAACCTGTTAGAAAAATTCACCAGAAGTTTATCGGTAGCACAAAGAAAATTCAGTGAAATTCTCGGACAGCTTCGTTGAACAATTTCTCCTGGAAAAAATAAATTGGAAATTTTGAACCGTCGCATAGCGTTTGTGCTAAGTGCTACGTTGGCCGGAGGGTGACGATATTTTGACCTAGTCTAGCTATGACTAACATGCAACCGAATAATTTGTTAAAGTGTTTGACCTATCCATAGATTACATAGGGTCGTGATATCAGAGGGAGAGCTGGTGCCTCTTTTAAGCATTTTCCAGGTCCCGAATTTCGAGACTCCTGTGTGACTTCGGGACACTTCTTCGATACATGATCGATTGTTTTCGATACACAGGTACCCGGCCATTCGATGTAAACAAAGAGGATAGGAATTACCACGTATTCCACACCGCCATTTTGTTTTTTTTTAACCAATTTCAAAAAGCCTATCGGCTAATCCCACCTTTATTATACTCCAGCCCCAGGTGACCATTGCATGAGACCATCAAATTCAGATCACCTGGCCGAGAATCGAACCCGGGACCTCTTGGTCATAGGGCCAGCGCTACAACCACTACAGCACAGGAGGCCGACCCTATGTAATTGACCATGTGGATCGAACATGTGTAACCAAGTAACCAAAGCTCGGCACACACCGGGCTCGGAACTCGTCGAGCGAACATGGCACCAACTCTCCCATTCATATTACCACTCTATATACTTTATAGACATATCTCACCCTTCCTCTTCCATTGTTTCTTTTTTTCATGGTGCCTTGCAATGATTACATTTGTGGATTCTGGGTGTGTTGCAGAAAGAATTCAGCGAGAGCTGTGTGTTCAACGAGATGCTGGAGCAGCACCACTACATGACGTACTCGTCGACGAAGCACTCGAACGAGAAGAGGACGCTCTACCTGGCCCTGAACAAGTTCGGGGCTCCGCGGAAAACGCAGCTCAAAACGGGCACGCCGCTGGGAAAGCTGTCCTCGTATACGCAGACCCTCACGCAGCCGGTCGCCGCGGAGGAGGTCGAACAACTCATCCGCAACATGATCAGGGCCTCGCCCGATCATCACGGACTCCGCCACCATCAGCTCTGCCCACCCAGCTCAGTACAGCAACAACTCCAACAGGTACCCACTAATAGAATCATACATATAAGTTAAACTTTCTAAAACAGCAACCCTTGACAATGGTGATATCAAAAACCTAGGAGAAAAACGGGAAACAAGGGTAAAAATGGACTTATTTATGCTGAAAGGAACTATGTGCAAGTGGAAAGATGGGGTGTGCTCGTGATGAGGTGGATAAGGAACAATATAAAAGTGAATATAGTTCCTTTTGAGAAAGTGGAAAAGTGGTATTTTACATTAAATCAAAAGGAACTGAGCGCTAACTCGTGAACCGTGGACATGTGACAAGAGCATTGTGGACAGGGATCATGGGCTACAGCGCCCCGATGACGAGCTCCTGTTTTCCTGCGTTTTCCTCGGAACTTTTGAAACTCCCAAAATGTTCCGGATCTTTTACATTTTCCGGACTTTTTGAAAAAATCTAAACGGAATACCGGAACTTTCGACGGTCATGGAGTGGGAGTAATTGGAACAAAAAAGTTCCGAATCCCGGAACTTTTGACGGACATGAAATGGGAGCACTGGCTGTAAAATTGGCTCTACTGTATTGATATGACAATCCTCTCCCTATTCATGGATCTTGCCAGAATTTCCCAGTAGACTTTTCATTATCTAACATACCCATTTTCTGATTGTTCCGCAGGTGTCAAGGTCGCAACTGGAGCAACCCTCCTCACCGCCGACGCCCCCGGAGAGCGAGAGTAGGAACAAGAAAAAGAAGAAGAAGAAACGGAAACGACGGAAATGCAAGGAGGGCGAACAGGAGGAGGAAGACGGGTGTACAAATAGGTTAGAGGAGCGGAAGAAGTGTGACGAGAGGGACGAGAAGTGCGTCGAGAAGGCGAAGACGAAGAAGCAGAAGACGGAGGAGCTGAACGTGAGGAGGAAATCGCTGCTGGAGCACTTGCACACGGTGCCGATGCCGAGTCACCGACGACCGAGCGAACCGCCCGTGCCGACCACCGAACAAGACCCGGAGGACGCGCCCACCACCGGCGTCTCGGGGATCGAACCCGAGACCCCGGCCACGAGAGACGAATGACCGGACGCGACAGCGTTATGCTACCCCGTCCTCTCGGCTCGCAAATCCAGGCTTACGACTCCAATGAGTTGGGGGTGGACTTGCGCCGTCTTGGTTTCAGTCAACGAACGCACCACCGCACAGTGGATCGAGTCACACTGAAAAAAAAGTCTCGGTGTATTTACTAAGAAAAGGGTAAAATTACTAAGAATCCAGGGTTCTATTTGATCCCAGTTTTTTCTTGGTAAAATTACCATTTATGGAATTGGTAATTTTACCGAGAAATCTCGGTAAAGTTATTGACTTTCTCGGTAATTTTACTGGACCTTGGTAAAAACGCCGATATTTTTTATCGACTGTGGTAGAATTACCGAGATAAAATGGCAAAGTTACCGGGAATTGATTACCAATAAAAGTGGTATTCTTACCTGGAAAAAACAGTAAAAATACCGGTTTTTAGGTAAACTTGCCAGTCTGTCTTGGTAAAATTACCAATAATTGGTAAAAAAAGCGAGATGGTAAAGGTACCAACGGACCTTGGTAAAAACGCCGAGAACTTTTTTTCAGGGCAATAGGAGAGGTCGGACCAAATTTGGAAACTTCAAACGCTCATAACGTCGCTCTTCTGGCTTAAGGGCGTATCTCACTTTCCACGTGGAACCTGTTTTACATTTGAATCCATGCTTTCTGAGGCTCATACGGAAATCGAGATAAGCCCTTACGTCAGAGGATCGACGATAACTCGGTTTATACAAAACTTTGAGGTTCTAAAAGTAGTTCGTTTGGTTTCCTCGTGAAATTTTCTACCAATTGCACCCCTTGAAATTTGAAATGTGACGTAATGAACATCAAAATTTGCAGTTTTTGTCAAAAATTTCATGTTCGACTGCTCTATTTGACTCGAGCCACTGTGCGCTGATTTAGTCCTTAGGAATAACGACGAATCATAGGTCTTGTCTCCACCGGACCTTCGAATGGGATTCATCCCAAGTTTGGATCGCAGGAATGAAACTTGAGGAATTTTTCCCCTACTGAAAAAAATTATGGTGACATTTGCTATTTGTCTACTTGATTTTTTATGCAGTGATACTGTTAGTGAAAATAACCCGAGTTATGGTAGTATTCACTAGAGCTCTGGTGGAGGAACTGCTATTTTTTGTTCATTTTAGAAGCAACTTACGTGCAATGTTTGGTGAGCATTTCAACCTTTTAGAGGGACGAATCAACGAAATTCGCAAGGAGATGAAAAATTGGATAACTCAACCCTCGGAGAACAGGCGGAATTGAAAACAGCGCTTATCTTACCTGCATCTGAGATATTTCTACTGATTGGGTCCATATTCATTTGGAAATATGCACTTAATTTTTAATCCTAGAAACTTCAATCGAGGGTATTGTGAACGATTAATGAATAAAAAAACGGGTTTTCGAGGTGCGGCAGAGAATTGATGAAGCTCGTCGCCATCGGTTGCATCAATTCGACTGCACCTCAAGCAAGTCAATTTAAATTTTTTAATGGTTGAAATATAATGATTTCAGAAGAAATCCGAAAACTTGTCCTATTCGATCGCAAAAATTTGTCTATTGACCCCCACAGATAAATCGTATGCATATGATTTTTGGGTCTAAATGTCCTCGTGTCGAATGAGATTTATAAGCGCTTGACATTCCAAATGTTTCAACCCAAAAATATCTGTGTGTCGCTCACTTCAAGAACTTTGCCCGAAAAAAGAAAGGAAAACATTATTTCATGAAAGGACCTCTGACTTTTATTTTATTATTTAATATTGATGAAATTAAAATGCGTTCCCGTCCCCCAAACTTTTAATAGGGATGCTATACAGCGGCCCCTATTTGGAAGTACAGTATTTTACGCCCTTGTTGTGGCTGATTATAAGGAGGTTTAGGAGCTGTTTACCTGAACGTATCAAATAATGTGTACATAATGGCGCAAAAGGGAGGATTTTCCAGCCATACACGTGCCATACGTTCATATCTATTTCTCTGTGGCGACCCGGGAGCCAATATTTGCGTTACTGGTTACCTGAATTTTTAAGTACATATGCCATTTTCTGACCCTCTTTCACGAAAACATTATAAAATTAATAAGTGACATACGAAAATATTGTTGGGAATACACTGGCATGGAAATGAGATGAATCGTAAATTGTTTAAGTCCACAGACCGCAATGATGAAATATTTTCGAGCTAACTTATTTTGGTGAATTATCACAAATCGCTCCACGAAAGTGCGTATCCACAACCAATATGATAGAAGTTTACGTAATTGATTCGGCTGTTCGGCGCGAAATTTTCATGGCAGTCATTCGTCACCCTATGTGGCATACGTGTACTTGCTGCGCCAAGAAGACGATTTGACACGCCATATTGACTTGTTGATGAAGTATGAAGAGATTCTCCGTCGCTAAATAGTTAAATGGGCTTATATCTTTACCATGCGAACTCTCTACGACAAAATGAATTCTCTCGCGGCAACGATTAATTTTTCTCATACCGATCATATTTAGTGTACGTATCCGTAATTTTACAGCCTTATCTTCGTATTTGTATGGTGCCATATTTTACTATTGATTAGTGCATATCGACAGTGTAACTACCAGACCACGTATCTCGTTTTCGCTGCTTAAAAATCTCCGCTCCCATTTTTTTTTTCAAAGGAGAACAAATCAATATCATTTCTTCAAATTTTCACAAAGTTTTCTTTGTACAGAGTAGAAGTTTTCAAGAATTTACCTTGTGTAGTATTTCATCTAAAAATTAAAGTATGACAGGAAATCTGCAACGCCGCAAACCGAGATATGTGGTCCGGTAGTTTCACTGTCAATATATTGTTTCAAATATTTTCGTACTTAAGAAAGCAAACACTGTTGTCAAATTTTAATATATCTGTTGCTTTAGTACTGTAAAGAAAAATAAAAAAATAATAATAAAAATAAAAACCTAAGGAGCTGTAGTAACTATGTGTCCGCTCCGGAAAGAATGATCATTCCGGCAGAAGATCATCGTAGTCCTCTATGATGTTCTTGAGTCTTGTGTAAAGTATTTGGTAATTTTTATACCATTTTTGGTTAGTTTAACTTCTATTTTGTAACATATTTTGGTCAAATTCTTTAAATATTTGCTTTTGAGAATTATGAAATGAGAAAAATGTCAAATAAGTCAACATTTCTTGCACTGTGTATAAATCAAACTAATAAATTTAACGTAATTTTTACGCATGTAACAATGACTCTTCAATTTTTTACCCATAGACTTCAACAAAATAAAAAAAAAAAATCCGTAAACACAATTTTAATTTTGTGATTATTGTTCATCATCCCTGAAAAAAAAATCGAAATACTGAACACTCATACACAGAATTATCTGCCGGGAATAACCTTGAGTAGAATATTTTGAAATGGTTCATTAAATGTAAAAAAATATCCCGTTCATGAACATTCGTAGATTATAAATTGCGATTTCATGTTATGATTTTTTTTTTTTTAATTTCCCCAACTGCATCGGGATGTTGTGTAGGTATATTACCTGGAGCTAGAGATTTTATTCTCTATATAAGTCCGAATTTTCCCAGAATGACCAACAACGTGCATGAAGTGCTAGGCTACTTGCATAGGCACATTACCACTGAGTGCAGTATGTCTAAGTATACAAGCTACACATACACGATACCTATCCACTGTTGGTAGATCCTGCATCAGTGGTAATCTGCCGTGCTAAGGAAAAACGCCGTATGAACATTCAAGAGTGGCCAAATTTCCCCGGATAAAACATGTATTTTTGACGACATTCATGCACATTTTTCTTTGAAATTTTTAGATATTTTAGATTAAAGTGCGTACTAAATTGTATGAAAATTTTGGAATTAAATATTCACAATTTTCCCTGTAATTTCGGTTTTTATCGAAGGAAATTTGGCAACGTCTGAAGGCTCATACGGCGTTCTTCCTTTGCACGGCAGTAATTTATGCACGTAATTAAGTATGAAACTAGTCTAATACTGTATGCACACTAATGGAGCTCTTGCGTACCACAAGGATTTGTAATTTAGGCACTTTTTTAGAAATAAAAGTTTGCAAGAAACTCGATGGTGCCACCGGTTTTCTCTGAAATAAACTCCTGAACTTGAAAACAAGCTCTCGAAGTTGAGACCGCGATGGGGGAGATAGCCTCGTGATTTGGAGAGGAGTGCTGAGGTGGAGAATTTGTTTCAGGGGAAACTAGTGGCATTATGTTTCTGACGAAGTATAAGGAGGAAAAAACTTAAACCGTGAATCCCTGTAGTATGCAAGAGCTCCTTCGGTGCGTGCTGCCGCCTTAGACTTTTTAGCCGAGGGATGATTTATTATTAAACGAAGTGATGAACTCAAGTCAACTCCTCGAAGTGTCCCGAAACAGGACAATCATGCAAACATGTGACTGAAGCCACTATTTTTTTCCGAAACGAAAGCTCCGCCGTTGTCTTTAAACAACAAAACTTCTTGTGCTGAATGAGGACAACACTATGATAATGTCATTTCCGAGTAGCTGTTTATTCTCCTATCAAAGCAACAGCGGCTTATCAATCCAAGAAAACACAAAAACCTGACTCGAAACAACGTTTACTTATCACGTTATTCAAACATTCGGTGGCACTTTCCGCTTTACAAAAGATTGAACTGAGTTGCCCAAAGCGCATTCATGCAACTATTCGTGTGTCACGGATGTGTGTGTTGCGTGTTAAAAATTGAAGGCTCTCTCGCTTTTCTCACTTCTTCAGAGATGCACGGGACTCGGCAGTTGTACTCTAAAGGGAGTACCTGAGTTTTACTAGATCGTTACACGAGGCAAGAGTCTCTAAGGCCAATCATTCAATCGGTCATTCTTTAAAGAACATAAGTGCCAGAAATTAAAACACGATAGAAACATTAAAATTTAATAATAGACCTGTTTTAATCGTAGAAGTTATCATAGTGTGATTAATAAATTATCGCTTCAATGCCTCAGAGTTTCATTATTTCAAACGGGTCGATTATAGAATAAAATATACACTAATTTGCTTCCAGACTCGAGTAATTTTGGCAGCAGCGTAAATGGTCAAAAATAGTTCTGAAGGGACAGAAAAAACTATTTGACATGATTTTCTAAAGTTGTGACATATTTCGGCCTCTTCAATTTCGGAAGACCTGTTTTGAGATTGATGAAAAACTGTCGAATACGATACTTTTGCTGCGCGCAGCGCTTCAAAAGTTGCTGCGCCGTGACCTACCCTATCCCCATCCTTTACCAAAATTAAATTTTCTTGTTAAAAATAGGCTTCTAAATGTCTGCCTAAGAAACTAAGAGCTTGTTTGGTTTGAAAATAATTTGGGCACACTTTATAGACCAAAAACCCAGCTCCGCGGATCGGCCTATTTCCTCCCCATTTAAACCAATGTAATTTTTCCCCAAAATTTTAATCGCTTCGGGGAAAAGTGTAGACTTCAACTATGATGCTGAAACTTCAGAATTATCCTTTGGGGACCTAAAGGAATGGGGAAAAACCCGGGACCAAGGTTTTGAGGTGGTCGCCTCAAAACGGAACACCCTAGAACATAACTACAAAATCATCACAAGCGAGCACCGGCAATCGGCAATCGTAGTCCGTACAGCAAATTGCGCAGACTAGAATTGAAGGCGTTTTAAACTCCGCTTCTGCTAGCTCGATGAAAACTTCCAGCGCAAGAGATTTCACAAAACTTGATTTCAGATCTCTTGAGTGCTCTTTATGCTGATTGAAATCCACTGGTATATCAAGTAATGTCCTGTGAGATTTCAATTCGAGATCATTTCCGAGAGCTACTCACGAATTTCGACTTTTGGCGGAACCAGTGAAAAAAAGCCAGAAATAGAAAATCAATAAGCATCAAGAAATTCCAGCATCACTAAGATGCAGGAATTTAACACTTTAGGTAAAAATTGTGGGAAGAAATCAAAACTAATCTCTGAAACTTTGGTGATGAATCCGTTGCGAAAAATAATTGTGTAAGTGACTAACTGCATAATGTTTACGCACAAGTTGTATTTTCAAGAATAGAAAGGGGTAATGAAAGACCTTTTGCCTATCGATTCCACGTTGATGAATTAATTAAAAGACGCAGTTCAATGGCAGAAAAGTAGTTCAAATGTTTGCTTCTAGTTACACACAACAAACGGTTGGTTCTCTGGATTGACAATAACGTAGGATAGGTTTATCGATAGCCAAAGGACGAAACGTATCTCTGTATAGGTGTTTAAAAAGTTCCACTCCTATTTTCTTTTAATGAAGAAAAACAAGTAAACTATATAGCTTGCAATTTAATATTATACTCACAAAGAAGAATAAACAAGGAAGTTTCTAATAAATTATGTTGACTCGCTTTCCGAAAGGAAATATAAAGTATGGCAGGAAGTCATAAGTCCAGGAGGTCACCGTTACCGCAAAATGGTCACGTTTTTTTTTTTTTAAATTGACAGAACTTTTCTCCCTGATCTCAAACTGGAACCAGCCTAATAGGAGCCGGGGCGTCCTACCGCCAGGCCCGCCACATCCCATCTCGGGCCCTGGTACCAGTTTTAAGGTCCGGGCCCCAAGCATGGAAAGGGGGGTCCGAGGGGCATCCCCCGAGAAATTTTAGAATTTATACGACTAATCGGACGCATTTTGAAGCTTCCATAAAGAATTTTTCCATCAATTTCTGCGGAATAATTATGTTTTTTTTTTCTACTTTCAGCATAAAATACTTGCGAATTTTTGCATTCAAAACATCTGGAAAATTATTATTTTTTGTGGGGGGGGGCATATGATACTATTTTCAGTTCTAAGAGGGCCAGGCCCCCCTGGACTCCCCCTTCGTTTGTCTATGGCGAGGGAGTTGAGCCATGAGCCATTGAAGTCGAGGATGCCCAGACTGGAGACTCTTAGCATCTGACGACGGAAGAAAATGAAACGCAGTTACTAAAAATATCCCTCTACCCTCTGTACTGAAATCCTTGAAAATAGATAGAACTTTTCGAAGAAGTATACTTCTTTGAAAATTTAAGAAGAATTCTACAGTGCCCCAACGTGTTTCTGAAAATCTATTCACCTTTTGCGAAATTTTTAGGGTAAATTTTTCACTTTTTCTTACGAAACAAGGGTTGCATGTGAATTCGTAGTGGTTTTTCACGGGTAACACGGGCCCCTCCGGGGCCCGGGCCCCGGTACCAGGGACCCAGTATCCTCCCCCCCTTGTGGCGGGCCTGCCTACCGCAGTTAGGCTCTGAAGGTGGCAAAAATGCCGAAATAATGCTGCATTTTAAAATGACACAGGCAAAGTTTGTCTGATGCAATGATAACTTCTGATCCCAAAAATTAAATGTTGTTTTACAAAAGTAGCGACAAGGGAATGCCTATCGGAAATATACTCATCATTTCCGGTTGCACTAGCTGTTGCCGGAAACACTCCCTGAGCGCGAAAGTATACCTACAGCGTCCAATGAACACACACCGAAAATGTGTGGGCAGTATAATTTCCGGTTAAATTAGCTGATCACCAGGGCTGGATTAAGAGGGTGGCCACATGGGCCGCGGCCCATGGCAGCAAATTTAGGGGGTGGCAAATTTTGCAATTTTTTTAAATATAGGTATAAAAAAAAATCGGATTCAGAAAAAAAATTACAAACGAGAAAAGCGTCTTCCGGTGACACAAGAGTCGACCTTTAATTAGTCGAGTGAAGAGAGAAACCAAACACACAATTTAGGTATGGAGCGATGCGGTGCAGAGAGTAATGATGATGAGTAGGACTTGATGATGAAATAGGACTTGAAATGAAAAGGAGAAGCCCTCAGCGCGGCGGTCGGCATGTAACACACATTAGCACCTGCAAGACTTCATGAATACTTCACGCATTGCGTCAAAAACAGCGCAGTCAGCGTGAAACGCATAGCGCATTCTAGACTTCATGAATACTTCACGCATTGCGTCGAACACATTGCGTTCAGCAGCGGTCGGCGTGAAACGCATAGCGCCTACAAGACTGTAGGAATACTTCACTCATTGCGGCAAAAACAGTGTAGTCAGCGCGGCTCGGCGGTGGAGGTTAAAATTATTAAACTACATTTATGTTTGTTCTTGCATAATTTTTACGTTCATTTCTTACAAATGGAAGGCCTTGTTCACACAGAGAAAGGTTTACGGAACTTAACTTTCACGCCAAGTTCCGTGAACTTTTGCTAATAGTGTTGACAGAGTTTTCGCAAGAAATGTGTCCAACACGAGTGAACGCGTCTTAGGCACCCCTCCCCTCCCCCTCCGGTACTTCACTTGGTGGGTTTTATTGATGTTTCAAAACGAATGAGAAGGGAGCGGCAAAATACAGGTGGCTCATGGGTGGCAAGTAGGTAAATCCGGCCCTGCTGATTACCGGAAACACTCTTTGATAACGCGCACGGTTGCACGGGTGAAATGAAAAATATGAAATATTGAAAATTTCCGTGAAATATTTCATGAAATTTCACGAAGTCGTGAAAAATGTAAAAATATGAAACATATTTTCAGGGGCTGGGTATGCTGTACGCACTCCGAAAACCGAAAAGCAAAAACCAGTCGCCTTTCATTTAATTTTGCATTTAACTTCGAAAAATATGTTTCAATACGTATTTTTCTTAGGTTTCCGAAATTTCATAAAATATTTCAAATGAAATTTCAAGATTCTATTTTTCATGAAAAATAGTGACCCTGATTACGCGCGGTACTATAATCTGGTGTTATTTAGGCACCAAGCAATTTTAGTAGATTGATCAGTGATCAACTGATCACGGTGTTGCAAGGAAAGTTTGATTTATTTCAGTTCAGATAAATTTGGCATTTTTGCCACCTTTATTAGTGCCGTACTGCGGTGGACCGTAGAACGCCCCATGTAGCTCCGATTCGACCGACAACATGCAGGTTTTGAGATCAGAGAGTTTTGACGATTTTTAAAAAAATCTTAGAATCAAAATGACAGCCTAAAGAAATCCTTTACTTTTATATTATTGTGAGTCCTGGCTCTGAATGATCAGATCACTTCTTGATTATAATTTTCAAAATATTGAGCAGTTTGACAACACTGAGCTGCGGTACATAACATAACCTAACTGGATTGTTATCAATTTCAAGTGCAAGTGCGTGAGCTGTGCGTGTGTGTTTTGTGTTTTAACGTTCTAATTTATCGAATTTCTACGTTTTTTCGCGAATTCCTGAGCCTTGTGTTCATGGCAGGACTTGAGAGGGTCTTATCTTCCTAAGACATGGTTATATGTGAGCAAAAATGGAGTCAAAAAAAGATATTTACTCTTCATGGGTGCAGTACACAACCAAGGTACGTTTTGTTTACAATTGTTTTTGCAACGTTTTAAGTACAACAAAACCGCCTTTACGTCATATTTGCGTTGTAAAACAATGACAATACTATGATAATTCAATTATCACTCAATAAACCTTAGCTTTGTCAACCGAACTCCATTTATTTCATCTTTGGAAATGAGTGTTAGATGCACGATTCGTTACAATGACAGCAGTTTCAAGCCTTTACCAGCCTAATCTGTGATGTAGATTACTCTCAGAAAATTAAGCAGCCTCACAGTTATACTTCATACTTGCACACCGCATTACGAGAATGAGCAACTCCAACTGAGTCTGTATCAAATTTGCGATGGCTCTCCTTGGCAAAACTGTGTGCGCCGTATTAAGGAGCATTCAGCCATTTCTCCTGTTTTCACACAGACTAGGTACTTGATATTTTCTTGTCGGCATCTTTGATGATGTTACAATTTGTTTCTTTTGCTGACATGCCACATTTGCTGTATTGAGTTATTCAGTGTGTTTTTGAGAGACTTATTGTACCAAGGAGGTTTACTTTTCAGCATAAAATCTTTTCAGTAATAAGGTAGTCATTCAGAGTAAGTTGATTCCCAATTTACCCTAAATTAAAAGGATTTTCTTTCTTATTTCAATTGAAAAGACCAAATATCATGGCTTAGAAGCCGAATGAAATGCTGGCTAATGACCAGAATTGGTACTAATATTGCACCAATTATTGCTGCTATTATCGCTGTTAATACTCTCGACAATCATAACTCAGAGCTGAAGTATGATGTAAGAATGGCAATTAACCGGCCTCTTGCTGGAGAAATCTAGTACAATCTTAAATCATCATTAAATTATCATGTCATGTTCTGTTCGTGCTCCAAAAAGTTAACTCAAGGAGGTACCTCTTTCAAAAAGCTTGAAGCAGATGAACATTCATTCTGCGCAATGTGAAAGTTCATCTTTATTAGCACTACCAACATCATAGAACCTTTCAATGTGGATCCATTATTTTATTTTTAGTTGCATTCTTCAGTGCTGATTGATACTTTCACCCAGATATCCTTATTTGTCTTAGGTCTAAAATAATTTATTTGAATAAAGCATATACTATTTCATAAGTGTGCCGACTTTTAATGACAACCGATCAGTAATAATGATCATGAAAAGGACTCTCCTTCTTTCAAGTGCAAAGAAAATTTGGGTAGCCCCCCTCCCCCCTACCTGCATTTATGATCCCCATAATAATGTTGTTTTGCTAATCCCATCTTCTTTTTCACAGAATGAAGAAAAATATTTCCGTCACTTCATTCAAGGTTTTGTGAATATTTGGGAAACGCAACTACCATTAGATTGGGATAATCCTCAGAATCTACCTAATTGGACAGAAGTAAAACCTGATGCTGGACCTCACCTGTCACGATTGCCTGAAGAGTTGCTTCCGGCGATTGGAAAGTTTCTTTTCATAGCCAAAGATAACGCTGAGAAGGTAAGACCTATAGATTAAATGACCCTTGACATGAGTAAGTATGTCTTTCTGTTTTGAGGAGGAAGGTAAACTTTCTGTGATCCGTCGAACTTTCGGTGAATTACCCTAGATTATGAAGAAAAATCTCACTCACAAAATGTCAAGTCTCAGTGTTTTTTAGTTTCCTGTCAAAAAAATAAAACACAAGAGAACATCAGGCAACGGCTGATGCAGTTTGGGTAATCCTGGTTAAATTTGTTCAAATTTATTTATTAATTACTCTTGAAGTTTTTTTTTACTTCCTCTTGCCATTATTACATTAGTCCATACATTTGGAGCCGAAATAATTTTTTTAAATTCATCTTGTCAGAGGACAAACTTCAAAACCACCTATCTTAGTTGCATTTAAATTTCTGCGCACTATTTAATTCTCCGCAGAGAAAAAACAAATTAACATTATAATTTATAGCTTGAAGTTTCTAAATGATTGGGGTTGGATGGTACCCAGTGAAAAATCAGAGAATCCAGAAGAATGTAATCCAATTTTTCATCTGAGTTTTAGATATTAGAAAAATCTCAAATGTTGCTGCTGATTATTTTTTAATATGTTCTATCCAATGTGCAATAGATTTTTCAGCAGTGTCTTGGTTTTCTTTCAAATGCACATCCTTATCTATTGTTTCATTTTTTCTCTTTTATTGATTTAGAATGCCATAACAACAGAAGAGACCAATGAAGTTCAACTCCTTCTGCGATGTCTGATCATGATCAGTCGCAATTTTGACAACATTCCTGTCCTGGCATCTTGTGATTATATAAGTCATACCATTGCTATTGCAACCTCTTTGATACATCAGGTAACTTAGTCTCATGAGTTTTATAGTGTGAATAGAAAGCACCATAGCTGGTTAAGCATCCACTGTTTGGTTGGATTGCATTGAAAAAAGGTACACAAAGATAATGGAAAATTTTTTATTCTTAGTTCCTTTTCAATATTATCCACTCATAAGCATGTTCCTGAAATAGTGAGGCCTTCATTTTTTTTTGCATTCAATTATCAATCATCTGGTGAATTAATGTAAGCTCTAAAGTATCTTTCTTCTAGTATTATTAGAAATGAGGTACTTGCAAGTCCGATTCCCTCAAATGCAAGTAAAAGCTATGTAATGAGCATAGTCCACTTTTCTGAGCATGCATAAACATCCATTAAAATTATTTACAAGGCTAATGTTTCCCCAGAAGACTTTATTGCAAACTGGAAAACTCATCGTAATGAAACTTCATAAGGTAGAAATTTAAAGCCTTTTCCTTTTTTAAATCCTGGATTGGGAACTAAATGGGCAGTCAAATTTTATTTAATGCAAGAAGAACTCCAGCTGGAAACACATTGTATTATCCATCCTTCTCGTCATAATCATCACTTTCATTCTTGCTAGGACCTAAGGTATCGAACATTTTAAGAATGTTATTTAATGCAGTAAAAAAAATGCCGAACGGAGGCAATTGATTTAAGTTCTTCGTTTTAACCTCAAGGTCTGTGGTAATTTGTATTTTGATATTCTTTAATACCACACCTTTTACTTTGTCAAGAGAAAATTTTCACTCTTTTTAATGTTTTTTTTTTTTTGTTTATGGTTTTTTGCTTGATAATATTATGATTAATTTGTTTTAGCTTGTCAATGGGAAAGATCACATGAAAGATTCAACGGTGTCATATTGTACTTATCTGTGCCATATGCTAGAGTGTTTGTACGATCCCTATTTCACATGGCGACACTTCAAACTAGATCAAATTCCTGACATTGAAATGCTGATCCATCATCCAGCAGCGTTACATGTTGAAATAATTCCTTTTATTTATGGTAATTAAAAATTTTTTGATACTTTATGTTGAAACAAGCATAATGATTTATATATAGGCATTCATTTTATATTTTCTGTTGCGTAAATGCTGATTTGAATGAAATTAGGATTCTTTTTTACTGTCAGCCACCACTTGGTGGCCATCTCAGATGCCTGCGCCTGAAAGGGCTCTCAATTTTCGGAGCACGTCAGGCTCTAGTAACTGATAGGTGAATATTGCACAGTAAAATGATAATTCTTCTTATTCTCAAGGTATGAGCCTCAAATCCTTACAAAACATCTCAGGGGTATGCTTTTTATTCTGAATCCAACTGTTACCTGATTTCTAACTGTAACTAATAAATATTTAGTTTATTGACTGCAGGTATCCAAAACTTGTACTTTCAATCTGATATACATATTATCTTACATGAAAAATTTGGCCACATTTACATTTTATGAAAAAACCAAACCTTCAATTAGGTTGTGATATGTAATCCAATGTAGGCATTAAAGTTTAACTTTTCAAATCAATAGTGAGGTGATGTTGCTGAGCTTAATACTTTATCTAAATTGTTTAGCTAATTTTCAAAGGATATTTTCTGTTATTTTTTTCCAGACTGTTTTGAAACTTGTTTGGTTGAGCTGGAATCAAACCTGAGCAATGAACTTTTAAACGTGCTTGGTTCAAGTGTATCGGGTTCACAAGTAAGTTATTGTCTATTCTTATGTTCTGTTACAAAATTGTCGCAAAATAACGTCTCAAGGCATACAGCTGAAGTACCTCATAAGCTTTGTCCAGGAGTCAGTGATCATTCGTTCAAGTAAAACTTTCAACTCCTCCTGCTTAGCAATCAGTTTACAATGTCCTGTTGAAATATCCTGAACAATTTTTGAAATCAAATTTGAATTGAAGCTTCCCTGAAAAAACAAGGAAAGAGTTTTGTGTCATGTTTCGCTTTGACTAGACACAATCTTGGAATCAAATATATTGAAATTGAAGCTTAAGGGCACAGTCATACTAACAAAAGAAGGGTTTTGGTACACACTGTTGCTTTGCACTCTCTCTGTCAATTTTTTTTTTTTTTTTTTTTTTTTTTTTTTTTTTTTTTTTTTTTGTGCACCTCTTTTCCACATAGTTATGCTGCATACTCATTGGTGAGTTTAGGAGACTCATATTTTCAACGTTGGAATTGGTTCCTTCATTGGGTGCTGTGGCTTAATTGTGAGTGAATGTACCTAGTAACTTCAGATCAATCCGCAACTGCTTTTGGTTCATCAAATGCTTGTATGCAACTGTAGCTCTTACAGTCAAACCATATTCATCAGCAGGTCAAACAAAAAGGGCAGAAAAATGTTCAGGGAGACCGGAGACTCAAACTGAACAAGCTTTAAATCACAAAGTCCTCTGACACTGACTGTTATTAGAATTCTAGATGCATTAGATTGGAAAGTGATTTCAGCCCTCTTCAGTTCTAGTTTTTGCTTTGGTCTCTCTTTGTTTTTCATTCGATCTAATGGTGGTCGTAATGTAGCTAAAATACTCATAGTTTTACAAAAATATTTGGAGAACCAAATGCTATTGAAAAGAAATAATAATTTATCGGATACTTACACTTACTGTAAAATTTAACTTTTTTTTCTTTTAACATGAAGGCTTTAAGGGTATTTAGGAATTGGAGGCTCCATACTATTTCCATGAGGTATAATTTTATAATTTCTATCAGTTATAAAGACACAAGGTTTCTCTGAAGGTTTTTTTGAGATTTTGTATTTTGATGCGGCTACTCAAATTTGTAGAGATTAAATTGTCTCTAGAAGTGGAACGATGAACAGCATTGAATTTTAGAAAGGTAAAAATTCCATTGTCTATTTAAATTAATTTTTGTTTCCCTTTTTTCTTTACTCAATCCCTCTAACTGATTTCTTAAATATGGTCTCCAATGAGACATTATTGTTTTTGTGCTCATCTGCCATAAATATGTTTGCCCCAAGTCATTGTTGATTGACTGTTGTCAAACAAATTGTTTTGAAGAGCTTAAAATAGGAAACCTCGTTGTTCTTGCAGTCGTAATTAGTGATGATTCCATCATTTTCTATTTGTTCAGCTCTAGATTTTTCATCAGTGCTTTTTTTATTTACCTTCCAAACTTGAAATTTACCTATGTGCATTATTTCTAAATGTTGTTTCCATTTGGGACTCACTGCATTTAACCATAATGGGTCTTTGGTCCATGTTTACAGAGCACGCTTTGCCTTTTACCACAACATGGTATAATTGAATCACATAACATTGGGAGGGCGGTGAGTTTGTCTAACCTCATGTCAGTTTGCTCGTCTTCTCTTGTTCTACTTTTTCCCATTGTTTGCATGAAGCCTCTTATTCGCTGAATAATTCCTACTTAATCAAATCGTTGCAATACATATCTCAAGGCATGAAATCAAATCAATTTAGGTCTCAAAAAGTGATCCACCAAAATTTTTCACTACACAGCTCATAAGATACGTGGGCTAATTCCTACAAACAATATCCGTCACTACTATGTATATGTTTATGTATTGGATTTGTGTTTTACGTAAGTTTCCTAGGTACGTATGTATCTGTTTATGTTTTTGAGATTAATTTCGCAATTCATCCATTCCATTAAGTGGTGGCTTCTCTGCTCAACTTTCAAAAATTCCCCAAAATCGATGTGAGTTGCAAGTTATTTTTTTTATCAAAACCAAGTTTACCTCCAAAGCTTGTCGCTTTCCTTTGCCATTTATGGTTTCCATTATTTCAACAAGAATTTCATGCCAAATCTGGTGGTTTGACAACGTGTGAAAGTATTTCATGCATGTGTTAAGTATTGCCTTATCCTCACTATAAAATCTGAGTATGTGCTAGTCATGAAGCAGTAACATACGGTTTGTCTTTACCTGTTTGTCGTTGCCTTACACTTTAAACATCTTATCATGTATGTATCATTGTCTTAACTCTCTCACCCGTCTGGATAATAATACTTGGTTTCAGTCTTAAAGTTTTTATAATTTAAAACTTTAGTATAAGTGCATACTTTTTCATATTTAAAACGAATTTTCTCTTCTTCAAAAGTACGATTCTCAGTATAGGCATAGGCCCCCTCCCCCTAAACAAGTATTCAATTATTTAAAATATGCATGAAATTCATGGGATTAATTTTCAACATTCATGATCCTATTTACTATTGAGTTGCTATTCTAAATCAAACATTTTTTCAACTTATAATGGAATCTAAATAATTTTCTACTTGCCTGTCTTGTATTTTATGTGAAAATAATTTGTTTTTTGTTTTTTTGTAGCACAATGCTTTACGGAGCATATGCCCCGCAACAGCTAGCCTTGTTGTCATGGTCATCTCGAACAATAAAGCTGATTTGTCAGTGCGAGTAACTGCTGCTCAGTGTTTTACTATTATGGTTCATGTACTGATCCGCTCACCTCCGCATCAGGTAAAAGTACTTTTGAAATTATGCAAACGAAATAGCCCATTTCTATTTGAAAAATTCTGTTAGAAGTTAATATCTCTATAACTTCTCTGATTCTTTATCTTCATTTGAAAAATTCTGTCAAAAGTCTTAGTGGCAAAGTTGGGTTATTCCCTGTTAAATGATGAAATTCAAGGGCCTGTCAATAAGTGTTTGCATCCCTCTTGCTATTTAAAAAAAAGGATATTTAAGAGCTCATCAAATATTCAACAAGTCGCCACAAACAAAAACTTACCAAGTGATAAATCTCCTTTTTTGTAAATACATATTGCTTTGACATCATACCGTTTCGATTAGTTGATCTCTGGAAGTAAACCTCATGAGCATCATCAGTTATGAGCAATCAGAGTGAGAAAGCTCATACATAGCAACATAAAACCAATAAGATATAATTTAATAATCATTCTGCCAAAAAAAAAAAAAATTAAGGTTTTTTTTCTGGCAAGAATTATTACTGAAATCAATAATCGCACATTTTACTTTCAGAGGCAAATTGAAGTCGGCACCTTGATAGAACTGTACCGAGATGCTTTAAATGGTATGATTGATGAAGTCTGGACGGAAAATCAAATTTTGAAGGTGCATAGTATCGTAAAAACGCTGAAAAAAGCAGTAATTGGTTCTGCGCAATATGCTTTGAGCATACAGGGTGTCATGGTTAACGTTCATATGCTCGAAAACTTGCTCAATATTGTTGACAAATGCTGTGTAAGTATTTTTTATAATTCTCAAATAATCATGAATTATATTCATATAGATATGCTAAGTTGAAGTCGACGGACAGCATTTTTGTGATTTTTTGGAGGTGATATTGGTCTGTTGCTCTTTTAAACAAACAGATCCGATTAATTTTGGTTATTTATTAAAGATCATTGTATCTTAAGTAATTTTAGCCAAATTATATGTGTTTCTATATTTTACCTATGTTTCCCAGCCAGAAGCAGCATCTTGAGTTTTCCTCTTAATTTTGCTGTCTCATTGGAGTCAGGGTATCTGAGGTCACTTGATTTTTTCCTTGAATTCTTCTGTCTCGGTCTTTAATTAGGTAGCTCAAAAGAGAAAATGCAATATTCGTATCTAAATCCTTATACTAGAGAGTGTGGCTAGTTCTAAAATCGGCAATGCTGTCTCTAATTTATTGTGTTGCACAGAACAGAGCATTCTCTTCAGAAAATCTTGACCAGCAGGGTAGAATAAAGTGAATATTTTTTTCCAGGCATCATTTTAATTAACTAATTTTACAGTTTGAAGTATAAAGTGTATGAGAATGGCAAAAGTCAACGAATGCTTATCTCCTAGTTGGCATAAATCTCTGCTCATGTAATATTTCTTTAAACAAAAAGAAATCAACAGTTTTTCTTGAAATTTTCTGTGAGTTCTTTTCACTCATCCTAAAATATTCACAAACAATTTGAAGGAGATACTGTTCTCTTAAGGAAATGAAACATTATTGGAGATTTTCAAAAAATTTCATAGAGATGCATTTTTTCCGACTTCAGCCATTGACGAGGAGCTCAGACTTTAACTAAGAAAAACCTTACTCTCTTTTGTTTTTTCCTGAATTTGTAGTAAATTATTAATAACATTTTTCTTGAATTTTTTGCTGCAGGAGTCGCCATTAAGTGAGCCATTAGTAGTAGAATGTGTTGCAACAATATCTGCCATATTAGTCGGTGCCTCACTGGGAAAGGTTAGTGTGACAGAATTTTTTTAAAGTCTATTGAACAGTTTTCAAGTTTAATAGTTGTTTATTTTGAAGTTAATTTACAAGCTGAGGATGAAGAACCTACTGCAACTCTGAGAGTGGTAATTTGGCAACAAAAGGGAAAGTATGATGCAGCAGAACGACAGTGAAACCAAATATTGGAATCTCCCATTTTTCAACAAATTCTGTGAACGTAAATGCATCTCTTCTTTTCTATGTTTGCCGAAACCCATAGATGCAATAGCTTTTTTAAGGGCTCAAAATTTGATTTTCTTAAGCATTGCCCTAGTGTAAGATGTATCTTGGTATAGGCATTAATAATTCATTGAAACTCCTTCTTTGAAACTTTTGCCCTCACATCATTTGGAAAATAATCGGCTCGAACGAAATGCTCCATCAAAATTTTTATTCGGATCACTTAAAGCCCTCAATTGAACTAATTGTCAGTAATTTTTTGGGGAGGAAGGGCGGGGGTACAAAAACAGGTCAAAGGAATATTAATCAGAAAATGTCAAAAGATTGTGTGGCTTAATCAATCCTTGTTCGAACTATCCAGCTCCATCTTTTCCTCGTCTGATCTTGTTCAGTTTTTAATTCCTTTATCAGGAGATTACAATGACAGGATGGATTCTTATTTAAGAGCTGCATTAGAAATTTGTTAGTCCCTGTTAATTTTCCTCAAATGTGGTCGTAAAATGTTTGTCTATAAAGTATTCTTTAGCCAATATAAAAACCTAATAGAGAATGTTTTTGACAGGAAAAGATGCAACGAATCGATGGTTACAGCATGCTTTTCTCATCTCTTTACAAAATTGGAAAACCTGGTCGAAGCCTCCTCGAAGCTGTGTTATCAATTGCCATTGAAAATTACTCACTTGAAGAATCCAGCTGTCTGAAGGTAGGAGTTTTTATTTTTTGGTTAAAGTCCGAGATTTGAATCAAACTCATAACTTCATATTTCAAAACTACTGAAACTCTTGGCTAGCATGCTGCATCAGCCACTAATCTAACAGTCAATGCGGGTAAATGATCGCTATTGAGATATAAGAAGGGCCAAATGCATTACTTAATAATTTTGTTCGAAAAATGGAACTTTTTGGGGACTTTTCAGGGTAGGTTTTCAAGAAGCCCATGGGCAAAAATCCAAGGTTTTTTTAAAAGAATAATTACATTCTTATTCGAGTCAAAGTTGAAATTGTAGGCGAATCCATCGTGACTTTCTTTTGCAAAATGTTTTTCTGTTTTACATTCAATTCTTATTTTATCTCCATAGTTTCCTTTTCATGTATGCATATTTTGAATCTGACAGAATTTCATTCATCAGAGTGTAAGTTTTCTCTCAATTTATTCAACATTATTGAGGACACTGCATTCTGCGAGCTTTGATTATTTATTCAGTCATTCCACCAGTGTTTTTCTTCTTTTTTGGGTTTTTAATGAAGCCTAACCGTGAGAACGAACTATGTATAATGATTGTCGAGTCAATTTGTCTATATTACCCTTTACATCATTGATTTTCTTTATATTTTTTTTTCCTCTTTCAAATTTGTCTCTATGTCTCCTCATACCTTAAAATTACCTTTGTTTCAGAACTGTGAAGTGCTTATATTTATCATTAAGTGGATAATCAAATTCAGTGAGCCAGATCAGATATGGTTGTCTCGAATTCTCTGCCAGCTGTGTACAAAAAATTTACAAAGGTTTACATTTGTTTCATTCCCTTTTAATCTTAGTCTGCTTCATTTCTTCTCCTTTTTTGGAGCCATAACTATCAGTTTCTACCTTCCATTTTAAAGCCAAGAATTTAATAGCGGTAAATTTCGTAGAAATTTCTCTCTGTAAGTCTATTCGAAGACTGTATTTCACACCCAGGCTTCTTTTGAGTTTAGTTATTAATCCAGTGAAAGAATTATTTAAAATAATCTTTGAATGTAAGTAATAAATGTGTGAGTTAACGGTGTGTTTTTAGGATCAAATGGAATTAAACAATGATGATAACCAAACTACGAGAGGGTTCATAGCCCAAATGGAACTGTCAAAGCTTAGCAGCAACTTCAATTACCGGGCTTTTTTTCATTTTTCTGAGCGTCACTTCAACTTCCTTCAAATTAATTGCCTGTGGAAAGGTTATTTTTTCATAAATTGTGGTGTTATCTCTTATGCACAATCTGTTAGTGCAATGTCAGGTGTTTAATTTTCTAGCAAAAGCAAAGCAACTAGTAGTGGCGCTGTTTTGGCAATTTTGGACTGTTTGACCGAACATGATTCTTTAACGGAAACTGCTGCAAATGACCTCATAGCATTCTTAGAAGCCCTTGTATCACATTCTGTCACCGTTGCTGAGTTAAAACATATTTTTCTACTTCTGAGGGATGATGGTAACACAAAGGTAATTTTCAATTAATTTTTACATGTATAAAAATTATTCTTCACCATTTTTCATTGCATTTTGTCCATTATCTTCCTGAAGTAGGACAAGTAGTTGGGTGGAATGGAAGATCAGTTGGTTCTATCAGAACCAAGGCGTATCCAGACATTGCAAACAAGGAGGGCGAAAGGAGGTGGGTTTGGAGGCTTTCCCTCAGAAAATTTTCGAAATTTTAATAATCTAACATGCAGTTTGATTTAATTTTGGCATAATTAATTACCAAATATAAGCGGCCTCCCATCTTCTACCCCCCGTTTCTTCCTTTTATCTTCCTTATTTTGCGTTTGACAAACAGGATGGGGGCATAGGTGCTCCCTTCCCATGGATCCGCCTATGCATCAGAATTCAAGGTAAAAAAGTGGTGGACATGGGGAATCTGTAAGTGAATGGCAAACAACAGAGCCAATATTGGCTGAATAAAAAAACAATTGCCTAAGACGAAAAATTGGAGACCTTGCATCAAAGCAAAAATTCTGTGCATTCTTAAAGTTAATTAGCATTCTAAAAGTTTGATGTTTAAGTTTTTGAGGGTTTCAATAATTCAACGTATCAATGGTCAATAAAGACAGCTGTGAAAAGGAGTTTCGAATACATCTTGAACTAATTTAATGTATCAAATTTTCGACCAGTGATAAGGAAATGTAAAACGTACCATCACCTTCAGCTTTTCCTTGTCTACCTGCTGATTTGGTCTAAATTTTGTTCTTTAATGTAGAATGTTTGATGTTCTAAAATCCATCCTTGTTTTTCTTTTTGTAGTGTCCGTATTGGGAAAGACTGTATCACGCTCTGTGTAACATAGCACGGAACAGTTGCCAGCAGCAAACTTGTCATAATTATTTTGACATCCAGACTGCCTCAGGTAATATATGCAACCGTTCATAACTTGTTCAAAATTCCCAATCATTTCGTTACCTTCCGGCCAGAGTATCACAAGCACCATGCGACGTTTAAAAATTTCCACCGCCATTTCATTTTTTTACACAGAAATTATTGGTTGAATCTGTTTGGAAAGTTCACTGAATTTTATTGGCATTGGCAGCGCAAAGAAAATTTCGGACAGCTTTGTTGAACAATTTCTCTGTAAAAAAAATAAAAAGGCGGTAGAAATTTTTGAACGTTGAATAGCGCTTGTGATACTTTGGCTGGAAGGTGACAATTTCCTAAACATGAGGAGCCAGTTGACGCCATCAGGGTTTAACTTCAAGGTACATGACAGCAGATGCTTGTTGCCCTGGCCCCTAGAGGGTGCCTCAGCTGGTCTGCCGGGCTCATATTTATGTAATTTTATGTATGCACTTTGAACTAGAGAATATTCTTACCAGAAATTATACCCATCGAAATTTTGAAAATTTGATTGAGGTTATCCACATATTTTTATTCATTCAAAACTCCTAGCAACAAATATCGTTCGAACGAAACATGGTAAAAATTTTGATTTGATTTCACCAACCATTAATGCCGGGATAATTTGTTAATAAGCTAAACTGGGCCTCTTGAATAGCAAGGTAGCAATCGCCAACCCGCTAAACGGCAGTAACAAATCCGTAAACAAGGGAATACTGTAGAAAAAAATCACACGAACTAGTACCAGCTCTTGTTTTGTATTTTTAAAACTATTTTAATCACATTTTTGTTTGTTTTTTGTCTCTTTTTCTTTTTTTAGATTGCATCATCATCCCTGACTCAAAAAAATGGTCAAACCCTGGAACTGGTCTGAGTTTCCATTGCTGGTTAAGGCTTGATGTGCTTGAAGATGAAGACGGACCTGCACAACGCAACTCTCCATTGTATAGGAGACAACTTTTTAGGTAAAATTTCATTTAAGCTCTTGATTAAACTGTTCAGCAGAACAAAACAAAAAGGATCAAGTTCATAGACATGTTCAGAAAAGCACTTATCAATACTACAAAGTCATTGGTAGATATATCACGTCTGATATATTTGAAAAACATTAACTACGAGTATTCCCTGCTTAACTCTTTTCATTTTAAGATGTTTGGTAGGACGGGGTGCCAGAAATCGGTGAGGAAATCATTGCCTGGGCAAATTTTGGAAATTTGGCCGCAAAGTTTGATGATCTATCAACTGATCAGAAGTATCCCTGATCCTGATGAAGTTAAAATATGAGAACATTTTTCAAATGTAAGGAAGGAGGAGAAAAAAGAAAAAGACAAACCCTACCAATAATCCAATCAAATTAGTAAGAATCTTACAGATTGTGTGGAAGATACTTTTGAATTTTCTGCACACCGAGGGTAGAGCTCTCTAGAAATATTTCTTTTTCGGAGTATCAAAAACAAACTAGTCTCGATGCCTCAGCGTTTCATTTTTTACTTTGGTCTAAAATTCAACAACAAATGCAGTCTCTGTATGTAAAATGAGCCTCCACCTCTTCACGCATCTGTATCCCTATTTTTAGTTTCTGACTATTTTACTTGGTTACTTGTCGTTAAATTTCTATTTTTTTTTTTGTTTTTTCTTTTTTTTAGTTTATTAACGGATAATAATACTGGAATGGAGGCATTTTTCTGCAATGATGGAAGACTTATAATCGGCGTGCATACAAGGAAAGAGTTTTTAGCTGCTACTGTCCCTGTTTTTACATGGTCTGATGGCCAGTGGCACTGTCTACATGTAATCTTTACCAGTGCAAGGTATGTATCATAAATGCCTTTTCTTTTTCTACTGTTGTAGTTCTAGAGTTTCTCATTTTTCTTTGGATTTGTTCTGAAAAAATGTCAAAAACTACCCCACAACACATCATCCTTGGTTTTTTAGACATTATGTCAGTAGGAATCTTTTTCTTAACCCTTTTAACGAAGGCACTCAAGTCTTAGGTAAGTAAGTTCTCAAAATTTCTCTAAAGTACCTAGCATTTTAGGTGTGATTTCTTATTGCAGCTATAGGTACATATTCAAATTTGTATTTTTCTCTTTACACACTTTTGTACACTGAGGAAAAAACTTTGATTCATATGAAGCACCAAAGTATTTGGTCATAAATCCCAATCTTTGTCTCAGATAACCAAAGTTTTTACCAGCAGTGCTTAGACCCTTAGACTTTGTCAAGAACATGTAGTCTTTTAGACTAGAGTTTGCTTCTCTTTTTTTTCTAAACTGGCTGGAATAGATGCCTTGTTTTGGTCTTGCAAGAACCAGTGTGAATGTGTAACTTCTCACATAAAAGAAAGAAGTTAGGAAGAAGAAGCATCTTAAATAGTCAGGTTTTGTCATGAACCCTTTTTATTTTGTGTCCCTTGTTTTGTTCTGAACAGGAGACCTTTCGGGCACAACCATTTATCTGTTTTCATTGATGGATCGCAGGCGCTCTCAGCTGCATTGAAATGTTCATTGATGACAGATGTAAGTCAATATATGTAGAAAGATTTAGAAACCCATGATGAAGCTGTATTTAATGAATAGTCGGTTAATAAGTGTTTCAAAATGTTTGGAAAATTTAAAGTATTGAGAGAAAAATTTAAATTAAAACCCAAGTCATTTCATCAGATCCAGAAAAGTAGAGGTCTTAAAACATTTCCTTTATATTTATTTATGTTTTAACAATTATAATGTCAATTTGTTTTCTTGTAGCTTCAATTTGTTTGTTTTGGGCGTAAGTCAGTATGAAACAAAATGATTTGATGTAATCAAATTTTTGTACGAGGAGAATTAGTTCACTGATTTCATTGCACTTCTTATTTATTCATCAAACTTTGTTCTCTCGTTTAGTTAAGACCATATTATTGAGATGGCTCTTTAACGGATTAGAAATCAATTTGAAGTACATAATTTTAAAGGTCACCTTGTAATTTTTGTAAAGATTGGCACCCGGTCTCAGTTCAAGTCAGGTGCAAAGCAATATTTAAAGGTCCCTTTCTTGATTTGTTTTCTTCTTATCTGTATCCTGGCGAAAAATTGATAGTCGGATCTCATTGAATTTTCGTACATGATTACGCCTGTGGATACCTATCCAATGAAATTATGTCGCAGATCCTGACACTCAATTTTCTGCTGGGATGTAAAAAGAACAATGTCATCAGTTCACACTAGTAACTGGCTCTAATTTGATGTTGCATTCCTGGATGAAGGGACCAGATGCCTTCCCTGTTCAGGTCTCTTTTTTGCCAAAGGTGTGTGATAATTTTATGTTATAATTCTACTATGTTCATTTAATCTCCCCGTTTCAGCCTTTCTCTGTTTGCAAAATTGGATGCGTTCCTGAGAAAACTGTTATGCTAAATCGTGAGCTTAAAATTGACCAAAGAAGTGTTTTAGGACAAGATGTGAGTTTTCTGCCGTCTTTTATACAGCAGGTATGTCTTAATATGTACACTTTATGTTCTAAAATAGACATTACTGAGAAATTATCCAGCAATATCTCAATAATTTGTCTTGTAATATTAATTAAACAATCTAATCTATCTACCAGATTGTAATCTATTGTTGTAATAATTTTGAAATCTACCTTGTTCTCTCAAATATTTATAAGACTGGTATTCTTCCCAAAATAATCGGTTTGCAAGTCTGTCATGAGCTCTCACTTCTTTTAAGTGGTGTTACTTGAACATATGTTTCTGAATTATAACTGACAGTTCATGCCAAATAATATTCCACCTATAAATGAAACTGCACAAACATCAACGAATAAAGTTGTTTCTGAAAAAAATTTTGCATCATAATTAAGAAAGAAAACGTCTCAAGTCTTAAAAATTTCCAAAAAAAAAAGTCTTATTTTTTTCCAAAGAATCGATCTCTAAACTCTCCACCCTCATGGTAACATGGTACGAATTTAAGCAATCTGATACATGTTTCTTAACCAGAATTTGACGCAAAACACGAGTCACACAACGAAAATGACTGAAACCAACTCTCATTGAAGATATTAACGTTTTTATCTCACATTGGTTACGAGGAATTCGAGCTGCCCGCTGACAAGAAACTCAAAGCTCAACGTGAGTCAAATCGCCCACTACAACGGTTTCAGCAAGCTTCTCAAACGAGCAATGTTCATTTCCCACCATGTGTTGTTCAAACTATAAGTCATTTGCTATAGCTGAGCCAAAGCGTTGAGATCGAGGTTGCCAGATTTTTATATCGCAGAGACTGTCATGATAACGTTTAGCGCTCGGTGTGAATCACGTAGAGCATTGAGTTTTCATGAGCGGATGGTTTGAATTCACGCATTAAGAATCACTAAATATCTTCGGAAGGAGTTGATTTCGGTAATTTTCGTTGAGTGCACCGTGTTCTACGCAAAATTTTGGTTAAGAAACATGTATCAGAATGCTGAAATTCGTACCTTGTCTAGTGGTCCATTGAATACGTTGATTAGTATGTTCAGTTAAGCTTTTCATCTACAATATGTTTAAGTTGAATTTTAAAAGCAATAAATTAAAATTGTTCTAACAGGTCCCAAGCTACTTTACTTTGCCTCTTCGTTCATCGATACCCTTGGACCCACATGTAAAAAATTTCCCTCCAGGAATGCAAGATACACTTTTCGGTGGAGGTATCCCTCTGCATGGACAACTTGGCTCATTCTGTCTGCTGCAAGAGCCATTATCATCAAGTTTAATCAAGTGCATGTATGAAGCAGGTAATTTTTTATATTTTTCAAACATCTCCATATCAACAACATATCATATCAATATGGGGCTATTACTGTATTATTAATTGTTATAGGATAAAGTACGAGGGTGATTAGAAGCAATAATATTCATAATCAGTGTTGAATAGTTAGGAATAACTGTTAATAGAAGGGGTCGATGGTCTTAAATTTTAATGTTCAAAATTTGCATTATTTCTTTTTTAAATGTTTTCCCTTATAGTTCAAACTTTTACTAAAGATATTTTTCAATATTTTCAGGACCGAATAATCTGCATTTATTCGCACCAAATGGGCCTCAAGAGCTTCAGAGTATCCATACTAATTTAATCTGGGCTTTCTCACCATACGCTGCAAGCTGTGGCGAGTGCTTGGACTTATCTGGAAACAACCATGAAGTCAAGATCACAGCTTTCGTATGCCGCACTTTTGGTGTAAAAAATGTGATAAACTCCATCGGCAATATTTATGTAACCTTTCCAATTCTTGAAAGCATTGGCAAGTCCGACGAGTTCGATCTGTCTTTAGTTTCTCCATCGACCAAAGATCCCTCCGCTGATTCTCAAATGGATGAGACGGAAGAATGGATTTTACTCTCTAAAAGCTCCTTGATAGAAAAAAAACTAGAATCGAATCCTGTTTCAAAATTTATCATCCTCCTCAAAAATACCTTGAAGAACAACCTGAACAATCAGGAGAAGTTTTTGAAGAACAATGGTGTAGCTGTTCTCGGAGACATCCTATCGAAAGTATCCCTAGAAGTCATCAGCGCGTCTGTGTTAAAGAGTTTACATTTATTGCTAGATACAGCTCGTGACACACCAAACCCATTACTCGTCAAAACAATCTATCAACATTTGATTTTCAATTTCAACATTTGGACTGCTGGCAATTTTATGGTTCGTGCGTCTCATCTACAATTCATATCAACCTTAATCAAAGAGGACCGGAAATTTTTTCGAAAAAAATTTGGAGTACAATTCTTTTTGGATATCATCCGAATATATTACTCACAGACAGGAGTACTTAATGCAGAAGATTCTAAAGCAATCAGAGTATCCATTCTGGGCCTTGTCAAATTTTACATTCAAAAAGAGGTGAACTCAAAAGAAATCTCTGCTATCGTTGGCTTCCTCGTAGTGTGCAAAGAGGAACATCTTGTCATTGAATTACTCGAAATGATCATCATCCAGCTAGAAGGAAAACACTGTCGAGACCAAATCTATCTCCTTCTGTATGAATCCCACAATGCAACCAGCCTCTACTGCCTTTTATTGGAGAAAAATTTTTCCATGGATTTAAAGCAGAAAGTACTCAAAGTTTTATCAATTTTGCTACGAACAAGTCGCGTTTACGAACGGAATAAGGGCCAGCTTCGTTTACAAGATTCATCCTCTTACGGAATGTATCCAGGTTTCATTTCAATGCTTCCCAACCTTCCTGTTTCCATGGAAGTTGCTGTGATGCTACTGGACCAGATACTTCTTCTGGAAACCAGCAGTGGATATGCAGGTGCTCTGTCATTGTTACATTTCCTTCAGTTCGCAGACTTGGACATTAAGATTGAGGTTGCACGGAAGATACTTGCAGTTGCTTTTATGAAGCCAAATGCTCCCCATATGTTTGCTGTACAAGCTGGTTGGCAAGATTGCATCACAAGACTTTTAGTCCGGTGTCCGATAACAGTTCAACAGTCCTCATCCACTCCTGATTTGATGGTTTTTGATGAAAATGACAACACCTCAGAGACTGATCCAGGGAGATTAAGTCCATCCTTGGCAGCCTTATCTGCTCCACTCGAAGAAGCGTTATCTTTCGAATTTAAAGAAGTTGCCGGTACAGTTGGACACGCAGTTGCTGATAATATCTGTCATGCTGGGAGTAATATTACTTCAGCAGTAGCATCCGCTTACTCTGCTATCCGTCAGAAAACAGTGGAAGTGCAAGAAAGTATCGAGCAGCTGGGAGAAACAGCTCGAATGAGAGCTAGAGCTAGAGATGCAACTCTTTCCACTGAATCTACCACAGAAACTGAGAGTAGTTTGAATGCACCCTTAGGTTTTGAGCTTGACTCAACATTTGTCAATCGATCGCCATCCATGAGCAGTAATGAGGATTTATCCTCAGTAAATCAAACAACAGACGCTAGTTCGGCCAAAGATTCCATCAGTATAGCTTCGATGCAGAGTCGTAGTAGTAGCGCTGTCATACATTCTGATGACGAGGATGATGAAGAGAAAGTCATATTCGATGTTTTGCAGTAAGTTTAAACATTTTGCATTTATCAATTTTATTTCAAGAAGAGAAAAAAACAGCCAATTAGTAAATTCATTTAAAATCAAAAGGGGGAAAAGTATGAAACTTGAAACGGGTTGCATTGAACTCTTTGAAAAGTCTGTAAAATACTATTGCATAAAATTACACAATAGAATCGCGTAGAAAAATTACAATAGAAAGCGTATTGGTATTTTGCTTTTACCATCAGACAATTATAGTACCAGTTTGATAAAATTGAACAAAAATGCACTTAGTCTTTATCTTGAAAAAAAAAAAATAAATTGGTAGTAGTTTCGATCCAACTAATTGTAAATTCACGCTTGTCAAAAATTCAATGTTGAGGAAAAATGTTTTGAACCCTAAATTTGTCGTTAAACTTCATGTGTAACAGTGAGTCTCATGGAGGAGTAAAACTTAAAACCTCTTTACCTAGATTCACCTTTCCTTTTAAGGAACTAGAAAACCCTTTCAATATAGCATTACAGTTTCAATAAGTGCACAAACCAGGAAAGGATGGCAAAGGTGCTGGAAAGGATTGGTGAAAGTTCAGAGGTCCACCTTGTGCACTGCCGGTGTCTTTAGCTTTCTTTCAATTTTATGGTTTCTCTTGATCTTCCTCACAAAGTAATCCTGTACCTCCTTTTTCCCCCACAGACAGTGGAAAACATTAGATGCTGAAAACGAAGGTAATCGTGAAAATGAGCTGTGCTATCTTGTTGTTTACATTTTATTCACCATTATGTGGCGTGGTATTGATGGGAATAGTAAAAATTGTTGGAAGGTATGTATATTTCAGTCTTTATTTAGATTGCTTCGGAATTAAAACAAAAGCAACAATTTTTTTTTTCTTTTTTTTTTCAGTAAAATTTGTACCTCTAAGTATTTGTATTTGTTTCACAAGTAGCCAATATCTTGTTGGCGTTTAACTTATATTAGTGAAATATACTGCAGAGATAGGCAGTATTACCGTCGTGGTCCTTTCAAACTGTTCTGTAGCTTTACTTTTAAGTCAGACAAACTCTTTCAAATGGCATTGGAAGAAATTAATCTTAACAAATCGGCGCCCAAGCATAAGTATTTGCCAATTATAGTATTTTATGAGGTACAAAGCATGAAATTATCGATTTATTGGGGCAATGAAGTCATTTCTTTCCCTCCTAGAATTAGCTTTGTCAATCAAGGCTTCTCTAATTTTGAAAATCTGAAAATAGATTTTCCCATTACTTCCAGGGAAAATCTAGTCGTAAAATAATTTTCTTTTTCCAACCAGAAAGACAAATAGTTCAATCAATTTAGAGCCAAGACTAATCCTGTTTTATCCATGTTAATTTCAGTAATATTTCAATATCAAGACTTCTCTCTTGATTTTTGTATCTTTTCTTGGTATAATTTTTAGGAACGAGGTCAGGTCATGGCCTGCATCAATCTTCTGGCTTTGAATAATGCCCTGTATTGCTCACATCTGGAGTTGAAACTTCGAATTTTGGAAATGCTCGTTCAAGCAGCTTTAAGTGATCACCGTGAAAACGCAACCCCTGACAATGTTGGTGTCTATTCTGAAAATTCTGCCCAACTCATCAAATGGGTCTACGACCTTACTGTCCTTGATCCCAACAGTGACAACTCAAAGAAAGCCTCAACAAAAGTAAGAAATCCAACTCTTTTTGATCATAATTTTATTTTTTGTTTACTGAAGCATAAATAATATCTATCTGACGTTGCAGTTGGAGTGAAAAGTAAAGAGACGTGTAAATTTCAGTCTCTAATTTCATATACTTTTGAGAGACTTTTCCATCATAGGTAGATGAACTCAATATTTCTCTTGTAAGCTGTGAAATTACAGGAAACATTAAAAATATGACGGACATTAATTTTTTCATAAGTGCGCAATAAAAGAGGAGGAAAAGTAGAATTCGCCAGCACATTTTCTTAAAATTTATGTTCTTTTCAAGCTTTGTGTGAATATCGCAAGGAATCAAAATCAAAACAATTCTGCAAAGCCATTTAAATTCCCTTTTTATTAAATCTCTCTCACAATCTTTTTATTTTAGCTGCTAGATGGTGTTTTTGGTCTTTTGGATGTACTATTAGTGTTTCAAGAAAATCGCAGCAAAGAGTGGCGGGAAATGGCTCAGCTAGCGTTTGGTAAGTGAAGTAAAACTGCAGTTTTTATAAATACATCATGGTTAAAGTGTAATAAATCTTACATTTTAAGAAGTATACTATGTCACAAAATGCTACCATGCTCAACGAGAACCATGTATTCAACTCCATTCCACATTTTTAGTTTTCTGCAGGTTCTGCAAAATTTTAAGGAAACTAATCCATTCAGTTTATTAAAGATATTCTTCATCTTAATTGAGACTAACCTGAAAATAAGAAATATCGAGACTGTTTAAGTGTTTTTTTTTTTATAATTTAACATTGTGCTGAAGGTAGAACTGTATAGTTGCCAGTACATTAGCAGTCCCAACTGTACAGACAGTAAGCACATGAGCAGAGACTGCATTGACTGTCTATCTAGCTGGCAAATGTCATTGGTCGTACAATCAGACTGCTACTGTGATAGCAACTAAACATGTATAATGAAGTAATACCATTTTTCACCAAGTAGTGAGGTAGAATCCTGAGTGCTGTTCAGGATATAAACTTTTAAATCAAGGACTGGAGCTTTGGTTCATGAAAAATTCAAAAATGGTTGGAGGAAAACAAGCTTTAAAAATTTGGAATGTAAACTTTGGAATTATTCCCTTATATTCTGGACGTCCACAGTCTTTTGTGTACCATAGTTTAGAAAACAGTCTTAAATTTGATAATTTTACAGTGTGAGTAGCAGCCAACATCATCATGTTGACTCAATACTTACATCAACTAAAAGACTGGAAGCCCTTTTTTCAAAATTCCAGTCCATAGTGGCATGTCTAATAATGCTCCTCTAATTTCGCCTGTTACTTACTTTACTCAAACACCCATGCACCATTTCAGGAATTCTCCTAAGCTGTGCTGGTTTTACACAGTTGGAAATTTGCGCAATGGCAACAGCAAAATTGAATTCACTCATCATGACTCGCGTCATGAATGATGCTGAGGAGGGCAGCTATCTTCTGTTCACAATCAGCTCTATTATTCAACGCACCCTTAATGGTTAGTATATTATTTTTCTTACAAGAGCTGTATACTATCGCCGTTTTGTCGTCAAAATCATAGCTTCGGCGGTCAGGATGTTTTTGGATGCTATTTTGTCTCTCTTAAAGATGGGCGTTTGAATGGGAGCTTATAATAAGCAATTTTGAACTTGTTTTTTATGGGTTAAGACTTTTCAAAAGTATCTGGGAAAATTCTTGTGATCAAAGTGAACTTTCTGGGTTGAAAAATTCAAGAACTAAACATTACTAATAAAACTCATCATTGGCACCAAGGCATTTTTTTATTTTTTTCTGTATGGATTATTTCACTAAATCATATCAACTTATTAGCAGTTTGAGCAAGTAATATTGCAGTTCCTTTTTCCAAATTTTTGACTAGTTCTCCAATAGTTTTTTAATAATTTTCAGAAAATGATCAAGAGCACTACTCATTCTTGATCCCTGTTATGAAAGCTCTTCTGGAAAAGCTATCAACCATCCTTGATATTACTGAGAAATTACCTGATCTTCCCAGCACACAGTCTGGACCACTGTTTTTTGACTCCTTTCAAGAATTTTGCCTAACTGAAGAATGGCAGCAGTTCATCACAAATGAGGTAAGATTCTTTCAATCAACATCTAGTTCTATCGGATATGTTTGACATTGTGACAACTATTTGTTAAAGGTATCTTACCAGGAGAAAAAAGGAGCTTTAATACTCTGCTAAATTTTTACTTCTTGACACTTTATTAAAAATCTATATTATCTAATACGCGTAGTACTTTAAACTCTTACTCTGATCCATTCCACTTTTGATGTTTGGGAAGGAAGTAGGTCTGAGGTTAAAGATGGGATGGAAGTTATTAGGCAGAAATGAAAAATACAACGCAGTCTGCTGGAGTGATCAGCTTATAGTTTATTTTTTGAACTGTTAGTAAGAACAAGCAACATGATTTAAATTGGTATTATTTATTTCATTAAATCTGATCACTTGAATGGGTACTTTTTTTTTCTTTCTCTCTCATCAATATTTTATCATTTTAAGAACATTTTTCTTACTTTCTAATATATGATATCTAGGAACTGTTCTCTAATTTAGTATTCACAAAAATCACCCTTAGGGTCAGGCAAACCTTATTAAATGTCAACCATTTTTTGAGCTACAGTATCCAAATTAAATAATATTGGGTCAATTTTTGGCACAAATAGCGCAAGTTCTCCCAGATTTGCAATTGGAAACAATTTAATTATTTGTCGAGTCCAATGAAAAACCAGAATAACTTGCCGAGTCGTGTGAAGGCACTTCCTTTCACGAAAGAGTTGATATTTCCAGTATGTACCAAATAGACTGGGACACAAAGTTGTATGAACAATTATTAACATTTTTTAAGTGAAATTATTTAATCTAGCTGTCTTACTGTTAATAAAAGTATTGCACTTAGTGGCTGTTCATGAAGTTACTATACTTACTTTAAGGGGGAGGAAGTGTAGAGGTATATTCTGAGAGCTGGAGCTTAGTATTATACATCAATCAAAATCCTAAAAAATTGAGCAATTTTTTGAAAAAAAATGTGTGAAGCGAATTTTGTCAAAAATTTAATGGAGGGAGATTCAATCCAGTATAGACGAACTTACCGTGGCAAATCTAGGTTTGTACCATGGGTGAGTTAATAAGGTGAGGGGGCGTTGAACAATTCGATGAAGCAAAATATGTAACTTTTGAATAGCCTATCTGCTTGGATCCAGTATTCCAGAGTAAAATCCCCTCGCAGAAGGATTCTCTAAATTCTTCCAAGTCCATTGCATAACAGAAAATTATGTGCACGCTGCATTAATGCAAGTATCTAAATTATTACGAGACATCCATTGTTATCGAAAAAAATTATTAATGATAACTTCAAAATATGACAATAAGGCTGAATGATAGATCGTTTTTCAAGTTTGAAAAACCCTCCCTCAGCTCTGTCAAAATCAAGTTCCTCTGACATCATTTCAAAAGTAAGTCAACAGTCGACTTTCACGTAATTGAAATAATACCATGCAACTAAATTCACTCAAGGTAAATAGATAATTTAAATTAGTCAGTTGTCATTCTTGACCAATATCCCTCAAATATTCCGATTTTAAAGTCTTCGAAATGTGAATTAACTTAATTTTGGACTTCAGTATATCATTTAATGAAAACAATCAACTTCCAAGTCAAGAGAACTACAAAGATTTTATTAGTCAAGAAATGTAACTAAGGGATTGCACTTTATTTACCTTGTCCGATCAAAATTTTATTGCATGTATTGTTTAGCCCCCTTCTTTTTATACATTTGCATCGGTATTCTTTATCTCTCTACTGAAGGTTTGTTCTTATCATAAGCACCTGTAGATGACCTATCACTGGTTTGCCTATTATCACGACTGAAAATAGGGGCGCGGGTTGTATGTAGGAATTTTTCACCACAGATTACATGCATAAGTTGTTTCTTCGGTAAACAAAAATCAGATCGTGGGCTATCTGCAGGTGCCTTAAACTTTACTTTCGTTTGGAAAACTCAGATTGTGGATCTGGCAACGGCTTACCTAGCATTTGATGCACAGAGGGTTAATTTGATCTTTCAATACAATTTTTTTGGTAACTTTTTTAATCTAATAGTCAAGGTTTTTTACAAAGTCAAATATTATGGCTGAAAATTACATAATCATTTTGAATTAAACTTAAACTTAAGTAGGTACCGTCCTAGAGCTATTTTACATATCTACTTAACTTTGTACAATGCTATATTACAGTTTTTCCTTATCTATCTATCTACTTATTTATCTACGTCCAGTTTTGTCTGCTATACAGAAAAAAAGGTTTTATACCCTTTAATTTCACCCAGAAATCTCTTTTTTCTATGAATAATTGGTAATTTTCTAATCATATAAGTTCTGCCATAACTGAGTAAAATCAATGGGTAAAATACCAACATGGCATGAACTGTCACTCAGAGTTTAGGCCGAAGAGTCATTACTTTTGCAGAATAATTAGAATTTTAGAAACATTTTTTTATCCATGATGAAGATGAAAATAACCGACTAGGCTAACTAACCATATATTCAATGGAGAAACCACAATACAAACTAGTCTGACGTATAATTTTCTCAAATCTTTTGAGAATTTCTGTTTGTGTACTTACTTTCTTGATGAATATTTTTGGAATTCAAGAGAGTTCTTGTTTTATTTCGGGTGTGGAGGAAGCAGTACTGGTGCGATTTTTTCACTGTAATCATAGTGCCCTTGTATATTAAATGAAAAATAAGATCTTTTGAGGGGCTTGGAGGACAAGGCGTATAAGTGCAGTTTTTGTCATCCTGAGAAATATGTGTTTGAAGTTTCGAAATTGCATGGATCCAAATGCCGGAAAGAAAGCTCAAACTGACTTTTAGATGCGTAAAAATTGGAATTTGGGAGCAAATTATTCACAGAATATGCATAAATACTAGTTTTAATTGAAATAATTTATATTTCAATTTCATAAAGAACTGCACTTATGCGCCTTATCCTCCAAGCCCCTCTTCTGTAAAAATGTTTTGGTTTCAAGTTTAGGTGAAAACACTCTTTTAAAGAATGCAAAAAAATAGCCAGGTAGAAAACTGATCTCCTCTTATACAAGAGCTATCAGGAATATTCTTTATAAGAAATTGAAGTAGAAAACTCATATTTGTAACCTGTATCTGCTGAGAAAGTCCATGACAAGTTGCATGAAATGCGTGTGGCAAGGTGTAAGCTTAGCAAATTGTCAGTCAAATTTTGTTTCTGAGTTCATCACAGTATCTTAGTTTATGGCATTCCTTCATCTTCTAGTCTCCTGTGAGATTGATAAACTAGCATCCTCAGATTGCTTCCAGCCATTTATAGACTTAGATATCGCTGCGCTTTCAGAATTCTGTCTGAAGCCGTCCCCTTGCTTGTGTCTCGACTTTGGTGTAGTTGATATTGCATCTTGTCTTTTTTGTATCATTTGTTGGTTTATGCTTGTTTTGAAGTAATTTGGCTGAAATGAAAGTGTTTCATCTCTATTGTTGTCGCTACTATCTCTATTTGACTTAACTCTACTAGTTTGATGCTGAACCCTCTTTGATGAATGATTTTCCTGGCCCTTTCGCTTTATATTCCTATTGTAACCCCCATCATAGGGTACAAAACCGGTTGTTTCAACCTTGGGACTGAAATTATATGCTGCAGGTGTAACTGAGGGAACTTCCGCAGTTTGAGCTTTCATATGATGTTTCAAATAAGCAACTAGTTTGTGCTTCGGATTCGTCATCAGGATGTTTCTGTTGCTGTTTGAAGATTCAGGTGTTGTATTTTCTGTATCGCGGGTATCATCCGAAGGTGTTTTTGATGCTTTCCTGTCCAACACAGTACGCTGAGTTACTTCTCCTTTCCGTTGTTCAAAGGGGTTTTCCTCTGAAATTGTTTCATACACAGATTCATGTTGAGAGCTCTGCAATTCGCTGTCTTGTAAGTGATTGCTGTGGTTTAGATTCAATTGATGTTTTGCTGCGTAAAAAGTGTCTCCATGTACGGTCTCGATATTTTGAGGCTCATTACTACCGAATTGATTAAAGCCAGAACTGTAATCATTGTAAGTATTCCCGTTCAAATTATCTCCACTGTAATTATTATCATTATAATTGGCTACATTGAAACTATTTCCATTGTAGTTGTTGCCATTATTCACACCCAGGCTATTAGCATTAAAATTATTCCCGTTATAATTATTGTTGTAATTATTTCCGTTAAAATTATTGCCATTGTTATTACTTAGGAGACCGTCGACTGTAAAATCTTTATTCTTAGCTGGTGATGAAATGGTGCTGTATTGTTGAAGAGTCGGTGTATTTATCTTAAATCCACTCGGATTGTAGGTTGAAGCTGGGATTGAGAAAGATATCGAAGGTCTAGGCTCACTGGAGCTGTAGAGTGGAACGTCATATGAGCTTGGTAAGGGTGGAGGCTCATATGCATCTTGATTGTTGTTTGTGTATGAGCTCGAAGGAGCACCATAAGTATTGGCAGGAAGTGGCGCTCCATAAGAATTTGATGGAACTACTGGTGCTCCGTATGAGTTTGAAGGAACAGCAGGGGGTGCCCCATATGAATTTGAAGGAGCTGTTGGGGCCCCGTAAGAGTTAGAGGGTGCGGCAGGAGCTCCGTAAGAGTTAGAGGGTGCAGCAGGAGCTCCGTAAGAGTTAGAGGGTGCCGCAGGAGCTCCGTAAGAGCTCGAGGGTGCAGCAGGAGCTCCGTAAGAACTAGAAGGGGCTGCAGGGGCTCCATAAGAATTTGAAGGTGCTGCTGGGGCACCGTATGAACTAGATGGTGCTGCAGGTGCTCCGTAAGAGCTTGAGGGTGCTGCTGGAGCTCCATACGAGCTAGAGGGCGCTGCTGGAGCTCCGTAAGAGCTTGATGGTGCTGCGGGAGCTCCGTAAGAGCTTGAAGGTGCTGCGGGTGCTCCATACGAGCTAGATGGCGCTGCAGGAGCTCCGTATGAACTAGAGGGTGCTGCTGGTGCTCCATACGAACTTGAAGGCGCTGCGGGAGCTCCGTAAGAACTAGACGGAGCGACAGGGACTCCGTAAGAAGTTGCAGGTGGAGTATACGAGGACGCTGGTCCTTTGTTGTACGAATTTGATGGAGCTTTTGGGACTCCGTATGACGTTGCAGGCGGAGCGGGTGGTGCACCATAAGAAGAAGATGGAGTAAACGAAGGTTTAGGTGCTGTGAACGTTGGTTTAGCGGGTGCCCCGTAAGAAGTTGCCGGGGGAGCCCCGTACGAGGTGGCAGGTGGAGCACCGTAAGAGGTGGCAGGAGGAGCGCCGTACGAGGTCGCCGGGGGCGCTCCGTAAGAAGTTGCCGGTGGTGCCGGCGGAGCTCCGTACGTAGGTGCCGGTGGGGCTCCGTAAGAAGGTGCCGGCGGTGCACCGTAAGCGGGCGCTGGTGGGGCCCCGTATGTCGGTGCAGGTGGAGCTCCGTAAGTAGGCGCCGGTGGTGCACCGTAAGAGGGCGCTGGTGGGGCACCGTACGTCGGTGCAGGTGGAGCTCCGTAAGATGGCGCCGGTGGCGCGCCGTAAGAGGATGAAGGCGGTGCTCCATAAGTTGCAGGGGGTGCAGGTGGAGGCGGAGCTCCGTAGCTACTAGACGGTGCTTTCGGTACGCCGTAAGACGTCGATGGCGGTGGTCCGTAAGCCGGAGCGGGGGGAGCACCGTAGGTCGGCGCTGGGGGTGGGCCGTAAGCAGCCGGAGGAGCACCGTATGAACTTGATGGTTGCGGTGGTGGAGCCCCGTAACTTGTGGGTAGAGCAGGCGCGCCGTAAGACGAAGACGGCGGAGGTGGCGGAGCGCCGTATGTTGGCGGCGGAGGCGCTCCGTAAGTGTTTTGCGGTGGCCCGTAGACCGGCTTTGGCGGCCCGTACACCGGCTTTGGTTTAGCCGGCGGCCCGTAAGAGGGACGAGGTGGGCTCTTTGGTGGTGGACCATAGACGGGTTTGGGTGGGCCGTAAGAAGGTTTTGGTTTCTGAGGCGGCCCGTAGGAGGGTTTCGGTGGTGGTCCGTAAGAAGGTTTTGGAGGTGGTCCGTAGGCGGGTTTCGGTGGTGGTCCGTAGGATGGTCGTGGTGGACCGTATGATCCTTTGGGAGGGCCTTTGGGTTTGGAAGGCCTCTTGGACGGCCGTTGTCTGGAGCCGACGTTGAAGTGGTGATGTGAAGGTGGCTCGCGCTTGATTCGCACAGAAATATTGTTTTTCTCTGCAGTGACGTCAGTGTCGATCACTAGTAAGGCAACGACCGCTACCTGCAACAGAACAAAGAAAGATATTTTTAGTTCAAGTGTTCTAGTTTTTCTACAAATTTGAATTTCAAAAAGGATCCTTTGCCCTCATTTTTAAAATGTCATTGTTTCGGGGGAAAAATAGTTCCAAAAAGAGGCATTGCTCAGTTACAAAATGGTCTCGCAAGTATGTATCATTGCACCAAAGTAAACTGCACAAGCGTGACTGCTCAGATTATTATTACCTCGAAACCGAGTCGGGGTTCAAGATGTTACGGCGCACAGTGGCTTGATACAAATCCCGCTTTTGGCACAGTCAATTCTGACGCATATCTGTACTAGACTGCGAAAAGCGAGAATGAACCTTGAAAAAACCGTACAATAAGCACGCGTGTCACGTTGCTTTATGTCTCCATAATATGTCCACTATAAATTAAATTATGTGCTGATACTGTCATGTTCTCCGTGTATTATTTGCAAGTCGTCTTACAGGTTGTCGATTAAAAATTCCGAGAAACTATTCATTGCCTGAATAGGAAACTTAAAAAGTATGTCACTATTTCGCAAGTGTCCCAATAAAAATCGAGCGGTTTTTTTTCTTTTTGATCATGTCTCGGATATCAATTTCCAAAATCCTGCTGTTTTCTTAACCTGTGTGCGATGCAAAGATCGCGGTACAGCAGTCGACCGCGAAGAAGTTTCGCTCAGTTTGAGCGGATAATTTGGACATTGATTTGATTAGCCGTGATTTACGCGTCCATGGAGTCATAAAACGTCGCTCAGTGGGAGACATTCGAAGATTTATTCATTTATTTACCTCACATTGCCATGACTCCGCACAAGAGCATTCAAGACAGAATAACATTCTGTTAACTCTTTAACACTATTCAAAATTTTGGAGTTGTACCTGGAGTGCAGATGGCTCCGGAGTCCGTATCCTATGTTGCCCCCACACAGAGAGAGATTTCAACACAAAAGTTTGGTTAACTCGGGAAGTTAAACACAAAATAACCGTAGTTCTCGGTTGACAGTTTCAAGAAAAAATGTCAGCTAGTTTTTTTGAAGAAATTCAATTAAAAAAGAGTGTCGAATACCAACGTCGCAATCGGAGGAATCCATTTTTCAGTCACTCCATTGTTTTCTGTGCTAAATTCATCGCAAACTGTACCAAAATCAACAACAATTTTAAGGTAGTTGTAAACCTACCTTAACATTTTCAAAGCCAGCAAAATTGTTTCGTTTCCATTTTAAATTTTTCATAGATGCAATCATTGCGATCTCCCGCAAAGGTCTATTTCCAAAGTTATACTGTTGAATTTTACTTGAGAATCCTAAAAATCGTCCTTTTTTTGATGCCGCGATAAGGGACTCTTTAAACCTTTTTTAGTCACAATGTAAACCATACGGAGCTTCCTATGAAAAGGAGCTGCTTATTGGAGGACTATTAAAATGGCTATACAAGTCTGACGTCAAAATGATCTCTTCTTTTAAATTTTTTTTTTAAGAGGTCCACTGAGCGGCGCGGTTTAGCGCGACGAAGACACCGAAGTGCACTCGTGTTCACGCTTTGGTCGCTTTTTGATTGATTGATTGATTGGTCATTTTTCACAGGCCGACGAGCGTTGACTGCTCACTTCTTTTTGCCTCGCGATCCTGTCCTTCCATGCTTTTGTTTGTTATTTCTTTTCAGTCACTTTGCACCCCCTCAAAGCTGTCACAGCTGCCTCCTGCCCTTCTCACCCTGCTGGAAATGACGAGTAGAGACGAGCAGAGAATACTGCAGATCAGAGTTGCCACAGTCAGGGAAAACCGGGAAATGTTGAGGAATTTTAAAAAGTCAGGGAAAACTTGGAATTGTCAGGGATTATGAAAAAAAATGTCGACAATTTCAGGGAAAAATTGTCAAGTCACCTTAGTATTTGTTTTCTAGACAAGGTTTGATGTTTCAAACACTAAATTTTTAGAATTATGTCCTCTAACCATCTGCCATATCTTCAATTGTGAGGAAATTTTTACCAAAATGCGACAGGGAAATCAGGGAACATCATTTTCTTCTGGCGCCAAGCAGCCGCATAATGCATGGAAGCGAGTCTATTATATCTAGAGGAATTTCATTAAGGACAGAAAACACTTGTTACAGGTAATTTTTTACTAGGGAAAACGAGTATTTCACGATTAGTTGTTGACACTAGTGGTATTTTTCTCAGCGCAGAGACAAATTATCAAAGGAATAGCTTGCTCGTGTTCACGGCCGGACTTAGGGGGCGGCAAATTTTGCAATTTTTTTTAAATGTAGGTAAAAAAAAATCGGATTCAGAAAAAAATTACAAATGAGAAAAAGCGACAAAATATCTGATTTCCTGAGAGGATAGTAATTTCTAATTTTGTCGTTCTTCGGTGATACAAGAGACAGCACCTTTAATTAGTCGAGTTAAGAGAGAAACCAAACACCTACTTTGGACTTGAGTGGCGCGGCGTAGAGAGCGATGATGACGAGGACTTGAGATGAAAAGGAGAAGCCCTCGGCGCGGCGCGCAGCGGTCGGTAAGTAACACATATTAGCGCCTACAAGACTGCATGAATACCTCACGCATTGCGTCTAATAGAGTGCAGTCAGTAGCGGTCGGCGGGAAACACATAGCGCCGACAAGACTGCATGAATACTTCACGCATTGCGTCAAATGCAGTGCGTTTAGCGGCAGTCGGCGTGAAACGCACACACGCACAGCGCCTACAAGACAGTAGGAATACTTCACGTATTGCACCAAACACAGTACGGTTAGCGAGGCCTGGCGCGGCGGTGGAAGTTAAAATTATTAAACCACATGTATGTTTGTTCTTTCATAATTTTTTCGTTCATTTCTTACAAATGGAAGACCTAGTCCACACAGAGATAGGTTTACGGAACTTAATTCTCGCGCAAAGTTCTGTGAACCTTTTCTAGTAGTGTTGACAGGGCTTTCGCAAAAAAATGTGCCCAACACGAGTAAACGCGTCTTATGCACCCCTCCTCCTCCGGCACATTCACTTGATGCTTTTTATTGATGTTTCAAACCGAATGAGAAGGGGGCGGCAAAATACGGCGGTCCGTGGGCGGCAAGTAGGTAAATTCGGCCCTGCTCGTGTTCTTGAATCCGATTTTTTGTAGTGTCTAAATGTATTAATTAACACGTTCACTTTTTATGTTAGTTCTTAGTAATATTGATTTAAAAATTTATTTCTTCTTTTGGATTGTTGCAGGTAAGAATTCGTTGTCTTTGCTATCTCTCACTAAATTTATGGTAAGTGTCAAGTTTTTCCCTCTGCATCAGTTGTCTTTTTTCTTTTTTTCGCACCAACACACCACACACGTTGGGTGGTATTCAACTTTGTGAACTATACTTCGAAATACTAGTCGTATTAAGTGACCGAACCCTTGTTAAACCTACAGTACTTTTACAGATAGAGTAGGGCCACTGAATGAGGTTCCACTCGTGATTGGCTCCGCCATCTCAGGCAGTTGCCCACGCGCGGGCCTTTTATGGAGCTCTTAGGATCCGAAAAAAATGTTAAACGCCACTTGCAGACCATTCCAAAGTTCAAATAATGATCTTTAATTTGCGTATAAGAACATGAAAGTTACTAAAATTCCAAAAGTAGACGTATTTACTCAGTTTTGAATCCAATATTCGTTGTTTTTCTCACAAAATAACGTAAGTACATTTCAAAGTTGCCAGATTTTCCCGCGCAAATTGCATTTTCAGCAGGAGAATTTTGAGAATCTCCAACTGAACATTTCTCAGATTTGTCTTCTGATCACATTCAAAAATCAGACAAATTGACAAGAATTGTGCAGGGTTATTCTCGTAAAAAATTGGACTGTTTGAGTCAATTTTGCAGCTTTGAAATGGAGTTGCTCTGCTTCGTGCGGAAAGCGTCGCATTTTTCATTATATTTGAAAACCTCTTTTTAACTTGAACCTCTACCATGGCAAGGCTGGTTACAAACAGACGATAAACGTAAAATGCTGGCAACAATCCCTCCTCACCCGCTCCCACCTTCTCCCAGACAGAGTCGACGCCATTTTTTTTTGGATCCCAAGATCTCCATGTAACTGAGTGTCCATACTCTCCCTATTAAAGGTACTATTATGCCGTGCTAAAGAAAAACGCCGTATGAACATTCGAGAGTCGCCAAACCTCCTCTTATAAAACATTCGTTGTTTAGGAAAGTTGCAAATATTTCTCCTTGAAATTTTTAGGAACTTTAGGTGATATTCCGAACAACATTATCCGAAAAATTGTAAGAAAAATACTCATAGGTGTACCAAGAAATTAGTCAGTATGTTGGATTTTTTTGGCAACGTGCGCTTCAAAAGCTGAAAATCTCAATCCAGAGGGAAGAAACTCATATGAGCGTAATTTCCCCTCCAAAGAGTTATGCTGCTTGGTGCAACTCTAGTTACGTCCATTCAGAGAGGCATCTGCAGACGCGTTTCGGCCGTGTAGGACCAACCCTCAGTGCAGTGGACCTTTCTGAAATGTCGGCCTCTACCACCAAGCTCGAGAGGTCGTGAAAACCAGCCCGAGACTTGGGCAAGCAGACGCTGGCGGCAAGTAAACTTGCGCCATCTAGTGAGCGATTATCCAAACGATTTTTGAAGAAATTAGTGTTTTATCAAAGCAAAAGCAACGTCTAAAGGTCCATACGGTGCTTTCCCCCCGCACGGCAGTATAGTTAATCAGTCTGAGTCTGACTGTTATTTCTGAGGATCATTTAAACATGTTCATGAGGCCGTAAGAGGCTTCTTGTGTTATCAGTGTGCACTGTGCAGTGTACGCACTTAAGCTATCATTCTGCAAAGCGCAGATAGAGACGGAGAGTCGTTCGTTGTAATTTCGGGATCTTTCCCNCGTCTAAAGGTCCATAGACGCTATTAGTGGCGACGTCGTCATAGGGATTCTCCATTATATCGAATTGGATCCAAACAATAACATTGGCATAACCTCTTTCAATGCTACCAATGCAAAAAAATCGATAAATAT